GTTTCTGAGCATGTCCCTTTAATAAAATATGTGCATGTCCTTGTGTCTCAATCAGTGTCAGCTTCAGGCCTCATATAAAAGAAAGAAAAAAGTAAATGTAAGATCTGAGTGTTTTAGACCAGTTGCCAACAGTAGACAAAACCATTGCCGCCAGGCAGACCCCACCCAGACCGCTGTTTGGAGCTCAGAAAGATTGATGACTCTGGGTTTGATTGAAAAGTCTGCCTAGGGGGTTAGGGCATGTGTCTGGGTGAAACGCTGTGGCCAGTGATTGATTGGCCACTGGGCTAGTTTGGCTCTGCAAAGAGCAGCGTTGTTGAAAATCAAAAGAGGGGACGGTGGAAGTCTATGGTTTCATTAAAACACAGATGTGTGGACTGACAGATGTGTACGGAGACTATGATTAAGAGAGTTACATGAACTGTTCATGCTGTGTGCTAGTATATCTCTCAAAACTCATCATTTGTCAATAAGATTATATTTATATTGAGCTCAGTCTTTTCTACAGTTTGTATCCACTTCAAAGAATCACATATTCCTAATTAATGTGTTTAAGCACTAATTGACCTGTTATCTAATTAAGAGTTTATTTGTGTGTAATGAGTCTACTAAGTGAAGCCACCAATCAGAGCTCTTCCACAACAGGCTGTCTACTCATTAAATCACACTCACCTAGACATGATTCAGAATGATCACATGATGGGAAAATACAGTCTGTCTTTATAATGTTTCCAAGCATGTCGAAGACAACCAAAGCAGTGACAAGTGTTGTGACTGTTTTTTTTTCAGTGAGAATCTGACCAGATTATTAGTTATTTGTAGCCACTGTGATCTCAAACCTGCTCTGAACAAGCAGGTATAATCAGCACAAAGAGCAAAATTTAAAATGACAAATACAACTTTCCAAAAACTCATTAAAGGCTTGTTTAAATGTCAATTATTCAAACATTACTTATGTATGCTCACTTTCTAGCTTCCCAAAAGCTGTTCAAAGACCACAAAAAGGTGAAAACACCATGCAACACATGTCTATAAAGAATACCCAAATATACTGCTGTGCCTCTTAACTACCACAAACCCCCTGTGTACTGCGGGGTACCCTGTTCCTTCACTGTGGTTGCCCATGAGTGGCATAACGTGTGTGAGCGCTGACATTGAATATGTTCCCCTCAGACAACAGAACCCCAGGAACCCAGCAACATTGACAATAACAACACACACCCCTACCTACACTGCTGTGAAGTTTCAATTACAGGCAGACTTTGTGGCTGGCTACTGCCAGTCAGCCTGTCAGGTAAGGGAGTGACTGCCGGTGGAAAAGCCTGAAGAACAAACACACCCAACAGGGTGGTAGGAACCATCTAAGGTACGGGGGACACTTGACACCATTGCAATTTATATTAAAACACAATACGCTGCATTAAATGACAAATTTAGATGCCCAAAACTTTGTGCTACAGGAATAGATTGAGAAAAATTGTTTGCTGCGACATACTTCTAACTTAATGTAGAGGTTGGCAAGTTGACAGTATGGTCTACAAAACACAGCTACAATAGTTATACCAGTGTGTATAAAAAGACAAGGGGCATTCAACTTAGGTAAAACTGGTAAAAACACATAGCATTCCTCTTATTTTAGCTATTTTTTATTATTTTTTATTAAAAATAATAACAAAATGCACATAATTTACATAAAGTTACTGTTCCTACACTATACTGAGATTAAAGGTGGTTTAGCTTTCCAATTTAGTTTATTTTAGTACTTAATATAGCAAGAATCAGAACGACATACAATAAGAAATCTATAAGCATAATCTAAATCAATAAAATCTAAACGATACCCAAGCCTTGTCTAACCCCACGCCTCGGGGCAATTCTCCACAATGGGTGTCACTGCAATCGGTGCAGCTATGGTTGCTGAGCTTAGGGTCATTATAGGTGAGCGTGGGGAGGCATAACTGCTCACAGCATCGCTCTCATTGTGTGTGAAGGAGAGGAGGGAATGTATGAGGCCGAGCTGCTCCCCGTGACCTGTATCTTAATGAGAAGGACAAATCAATACCACGCTGGACAAAGAACACAAGAACTGCAGCTGCCATGGACAAATGTTTTTTCAGTGGCAATGAACATGAGAGCAGGGTTCAGTTCACTTCACATTCAATTAAAACGATCATCTAATTTCTGACTACATATTTAACCTTCATATATACACACAGCTTTTCCTTTCTCTGTCTTTCTTACAGAAAAGCAATGTTTTTATTGGATTCATTATATAGATCATCTTAGAGTTTTAAAATAGCCCCCTGTTTCAATATGCCTTTGCTTTCTGCTCACATAACAGTAGTTTAGGGAATCCTAGTGGCCTAGACATGCTGTCACTGCAAAGTCCGCGGATCAAACCCAGTTGGGGACATTTGGTGCATGACATCCCTGTTTCATCCCATGTTTTCTGTTTCTTTCTTCTGTCTATAACAAATCAACAGAAAAAACAAAACAGAGAAACAAAAAGTCCTCCACAGTTGGACAGATGGATTGATTGACGACAAATGCAATGTTTACTTGTGTAGTCAAAGCTCTCCTAACTTTTTCACTTTCCCCAATACTAAAAAAACAATATAATTTCTCTTGACACCAAAACCTCCAGCGGGCTGAGATAAATCCAGCAGTTTTCAAAAACACACTCACTTCTTTCATTCTTCTGTCATTTAAAAAAAACAAAACAAGCAATTTTCTAGGAACACAGCAGAATAATGTGCATCATTTACTAAGAAAATCAACACTAGATTGTTTTAAAATTTTTTTATATCAAGTTAACTTGATAAACAGTTAAGTTAAACAGAGGACAGGTTTTCCTCACAATCATATCATCACATTATTATATAATAATTATGATAATGATAATAATAATAATAAGGGTGCAGCATTAAAGCATAATTATAACACTTTTTGAGTAGTGAGATTCAGCCAACAAGCTAAATATTGTATGAAAGCAAGAAAGAAGAGACAGTCTGAATAAAAGCCATTGACATAATCTTATATCCAAGGACATAACAGTGCGAGGTAATACATGAGGTGTTTACTGTAACAGGTTTACTGGGTAAAAGGACTGAACAAATCACCTCTGAAAGCTCCACCAGATTATGTGCTTAGTACAGCAAACCACAATCTCTCTCTGGAGCTCTTTCTCAATCAACTTTATTGACTTTGCCCAGCAATCAGAACCAATTCACTTCCCAATTACTGATGGGTATGTGATTTACAACAATGGTTGAGGAGGCCTTGTACTTAATAAGAGGGGTAGTTAAAACAAACTTTTGAAAATGAGCAAAAATAGTCTATAAGGTCATATGCACATATTTCAAGTTCAACATCTAACTTTCTGCCTTTCTCTTTTTCTTAATAAAGAAATAGTCTCACACTACCACACAGAGAAGCCAAAAGACAGACAGGAAGGAGACAGGGACACACACGAACAAAGGACCTAAAAAACATGTTTTATGTTTCATCAAAGATGACTTCCCTGTGGGTAGGGGACAATCCTGGAGTTTGACAAACAGAGTGAAATGACAACGGGTGGGAGATGTCTTGGGCAGGCTGCCTTTTAAAACGGAAAAGTCCATTTCCCGTTGAAAAGAACAGTGGCTGTATGGAAGCGTCTGACTTGACAATTACATGAGTGGTGCAAACGGCACTGCGCCACCACTGATAACCCGTCGGATTCTATTAAAATTCCAGCACTCCAAAAGAATGCTCAAACTGAGGAAATTATCACACAGGCACACAAATACACACATAGAAACCCTCAGACACTGATTCTTTTGTTGTAATATATGTGCTTTGAGGATGTAAAGAAAAAATGAAGGGAGAAAACAAACTATCAACTGGAATTATACTGAAAATATAAGTTACAGACAAAGAACGAAACAAGGATATGACTGTGTGTGTATGCTCAATCTCATACTGATTGCATTGCCACTGCAGTGCTGCTATCTAGTTTCAAAGGCTGCTAATGGCCCTAGGTTAGCCTTGGGGCCACAAGCAAAAGCTTCATACCGTATAGAAGGAAAAGTTATCTTTAGTATAGGGAGTTAGTAGTTCAGGAGCATGCAGGCAATGACAAGGACTATCTTTTACAAGGGATCTCCTTTGTGGCAGTCAAGACCCACCACCCACGATCCTGCTCATATTTAACAGATTCAAAGCAGGTGTTACATTCTTGGCCTTCCTCTACTCCTCCTGCCTCCCTATGAAAAACAACAGATATTAAATTACAGAAAAGCTACAACTGAAATGGCTTTCTTCACAGATGCTGAAGGGAAAAACATCACATCATGTGTCTCCCTCTGTTGCCATCTCTCTCTCTCTCTGTCTTTTTTCTTTTGATTTGATCGCCGTTCCAAATGAGGGATCCCTCATACACTTGTCCTGCGGCGTGGAATCACGTCAACGCCCTCCTTCCCCTCTCTCTCTCTCTCTCTCAACAAAATGATTCATTTTCCTATTACCGCGATGAGCGTGTGAAATGAGCTATATAATCAATAGCATAGGTTTGTAAACAGCAGCCGCACTCCAGGGAAAATGTGTTTTCTTTTTGAAAACAATACGCTGTCTGTGTGTGTGCGCGTGGTAAGGAATGCTCATCTGACATTGTTTACAAGGGCAATTTATAGGAAATAAAGACACTGGCTGCCCAAAATGAAGGTAGCTTTTATAATACAGCAAGATGAACATGAATACAAACAAAAATATCAAACTACAAAATGCAGTGGATACAGTATAGAAGGGTTTACATACCGTTTGGTTTTTAAAACAAACTGTTCTCAGAGTTTGTTTTATGTAGATAAAAATTTGAGGTCTTGAAGTAACTATAAAAAAAGTGCTAAATTTAAAGTAAGTGTGTGTGTGTGTGTGTGTGTGTGTGTGTGTGTGTGTGTGTGTGCGCACAATGCTAAATTTCAAAATAGCTGCCATACATTGTTGCTGTTTGTGGACAGACTTACAAAGAGTTGGGCGCGCAGCCTCTCATCCTCAGTGGTGATCCTCTCTCTTATGATGGCTTGCTGGAGGTTCTCCTGGGCCACGGCCCGCTCCACAGACAGGATCCTGGACACATCATGTTGGACCTGGGACTGGGCCTCAGACCGCGCCTTGGCTGCTGCCCGAGCCTTCTCTGCTTCCAGCCTGTGGAGCATCAACATTTTACATGATTAATACTCTTCTTAGCCCTTTTCAAAATGTTACATGTTCGTGATCTGCAAAAACAATGCAGGAAGTAGGGTATCTAAACTGCACTCAGGGTATAATAAAAGTGCAAGTCATGGTACAGGACTACGATATACCCATCATTCCTTCCCCTGTAGCTATCTCAATAATGCATGACTGGCTACTTGCAATGTCTACTGCACACCAAGTTTCCTTTGTGATGCTGTAGTAAAACATGTTTATATATACACGGGGAATCATACTCTGTCTTTTACAGGTTTCTTAATTTCAAATGAAAATTAGGCTAATTTTAAACTAAAAACCTTCCAGGTATCGACTGCTAATAAAAAATGATCATCAAAAAATAAAATGATCATCTTGTTAAGCACAGACAGCGAATAGCCTCATGGATGTATGATACTAAGTGTGTAAGTAACATATTTTTGTAAACTATCTGAGTATCTTTGGTGTTTATAGCACCACCTACGTTCATATGCCTGTTGTGCTACATGCTGCACTGTTGCAGTGTCCCAAAAGAATTAAAAGGTCACAAATGCGATTATAGTGCTAATGAAGCACAGATTTACCAAAGTATACTTGCATATTGATTTTCTAACCCTAATGTCAGATGCAACCATTCAAAACCCCTTGCTATTCTGCAGATTACAAAGAGGGGGGCAACGTTGAGAAGAAAGTTTGTTGAAAGTTGAACTCTGACAGCCCCAGTGTGGGGGGGAAATACCCTGATGTACCACAGTCAGTTAACATCTGTCAGACAATTCTAATGACTTTCAGTCATTTCCAAATAATTTACATTTAAGAGTGATTTGACACTATCAATATGTAATAGAGTGTTGTAGACACTACCATTTCCCCAAAACAAGAATCATCAATCCAATGAAGCAGCGATATAGACAGCGGCAGTGTGCGCTCTGCAGGCACAAGACCACCATTTGAACCCTGTCACTGGGTTCTCATAGTTGCCTAGCAACGCACTCCCTACTAGGCGACAGTGTGCTTGATTGGAGAAGAGGAGGAACGTCCCTGAAAGTCTTCCTCTGCTTGAAATCAAACAGTGGTGGCAAGGTAAAATAAACACAAAGCATAAGCAAGAGCAGGTGTGAGTGAATTATGACTGGCTGAATGAAGACGGCGAGGATCTTAATAAACTTGTACCTAAGAAAAATCCTAAGACAGCCTTGACAAGAAGTAGGCTGCCTATGCTGAGAGTGGTGGTGGATATTGACTGGTTTTGTGACCTATTCCACTGAAAAAATTCCTTCACATTCAAATGCACCATCAATGATCTATCAGTTGTTACCTACAGTGGAAGCACAATAATTGCTTTTAAATGTTGAAATATTAGAATAAAACATTTTGTTATTTTCAATGTTGTTCTTTAAAGGCAGGACATTTTTGTTTTACTCATAATCACTAAAGTTAAATGTTGATGTGTGCATTGCTCATTATGATAATGTAAATGCATCATCCTGGTTGTCAAATGTGAGGTAACAGGCATAAAAACAGTATGTGGCTTTTTCTTGTTACAAGCTCCCAATGATCAGTCAATGCAAAAGGGGTTTATCTTTTATTCAGTTTAAAAAATATAATGCATCTCTTCACTTACCTGTGAATATAGCCAAAATTTAGACAGTAAGGAATCGTGATGACAGAGTAGTCTAACTGATGACCATGCCTTTGGCTTTGAGTAGATGACGGGTAGGTCTAATAAAACTACGTCTGATGTCGTAAAGCTGCCATTTGCCCTGCAACACCACTAAATGTCAGAGAGCAAGGGAGAGCGAGACGAGACGGGGAGACGGCGAAAAACAGAGTGGAGGGAGCGAGAGTGAGCAGTGGCGACTTGACATGTTTGGCCCTGAGGAAGTGAAGCAAAGAGGGAGTGAGGCAGAGAGTGGGAGAAAGAGATGGAGGGAGACGGAGAGAGACCAGCCATGTCCAGTCTCACAGTCCACTGCGCTGCACACGTCAGCACACTCCATCCATCATCTGGCTCTAACGCGCGCGCACACACAGACACATGAAGGGAGCCTCCTAATGGCCTTTTACATTCACCATTTCCCTACAAACCTCGCCTGCCTACGCTGCTAATGCACCTAAGCCACCTTTACGCAAGAAGCTTCAGCTGTTGCTCTTGCTACAACCGTGACAGAGAAGGTATGGTATGCAGGGGTTTTTGAAAACATATCTGGCAGTACTCATGTAGGCCAACATTAGCAATCAGTCAGCATGACATTTGGACCCTTGTTGTTTGGGGCAAATGTACAGTGCACTTAAACAATTACTACAGTAGTTATTAAGTCCTGTAGCTAATAAAGCCTACAAGAATAAAACAAGTCTGCCAAGGCAAATGTAAATATACTGTACCTGATCAAGCTTTGTTACAAATACTTAGCCTGCACTCTTTCAATTACTTAATGTGCTAAAAGTGTGCAGATGTTTTAAGGACAACCAGCATTCTCCTAAATGCACCTATTAGCAACACTGACACTCAGGACCGCTGCTGTAGTCTACCCGTTTTTGTTTCCATAAAAGGGTACACCCACTGAGTATGGTTGTCTCTGGGCATTTAACCAAATTAATGTAATTAATTAATACATGTATGATTTTATTCTTTTTAAGGGTGTAAATAAATGGTAAAAAGGTTTTCTTTTTATGAAAAACGAAAAATGATTAGCTTTACTTACTAACTAAAAGGCAGTGTCATAGTGACCAAAAGCTACAAATGGACAAGTTAAAGAAAGGGGGCCAAGAAAATAGACAGCCTTGCAAAAAAAGTCCTTCTACTGACTTCCTCACAAGTGCCAACCCAAGCAAACACTGCTATCACTAGCTGGATGCTATCTGTCTGCTTCACCTCTATTGCTTTCCAGTCATTATTGCCCTGTCCCTGGGATATTGGACACATTTTTCATTCGACCGTTGAAGATTGGCACTGGGTAGCAAAGGGAAGCTTTAAAGGTAGAGAATGGTTGAGTCAGACAGAGAGAGGAAAAAGCGCCTATATGTAGGGGGCAAGAAAAGAAAATATTATGTCTTTGGAGCATAAGTGGATGATGTTTGGCCTGGATAGAAATAGGATAATCTTGGCCCAGTAACCTGTGTTTTGATGGCTCAGTGGAAAACAAAGAGATGGAAAGACAGAACCAGTGAGACCATCTGAAAAGGAGTGGAGTGCCATGCACTGTCGGACTTTCCAGAAAACTCTTTTTTCAGGAGATGACATTGAACAGAATATACTTGGGAATAGTTCAGCTCTTTCAGGACACTATTTTTAAAACTGACAAAGATTAGATCTGTTGCAGTCTGTATGAAAAATTCATAGGTTGAGTGGCTGCGATACTGCAATTTAGGCGACTTTAGGTGAATTTAAGTGACTATAGTCAGGGCAAGCTTTCCGTGTGTGAATGTGTGTGCAATATACACACTTTCCAATAACAAAACATAAAAGCAGACAAAATGTGCGGTCAATACTGCAACAGCCGTCTCAAATCCATTAAGCCATCATCGGCTGGTACTCCACAGAGAACCGTTTTAAATATCATTACCCTTGTACAAATTTCAAAACAAAATAAATTACAAATTCATGTCTTCTAGCTTTTCCTCTTCACCTTCTGTCTCTCTCCTCAGCTCTTCACCCATTAATGCTTCCTGTTGTTTACCTGTCTCCTCCATAAGATGTGTCTCAGTACAGTCTGCCTGGCAGGATGGATTCTGACAGACCTGCGTAACAGTGCAGGCTCGACCCAACTGCCTCGAAACAAAGGCATTTAAAGGCCCAATGCAATATTGATGTTAGGAATAATGTCGCTGAATGCTTCCTATGAATATTTTATGGAGCTGTGCACTCTAACTGACACACACGTGCAACACACATACACCACACCTGACTGCGGACGCTATGAAATGCTGGGGCAGAGTTAAAATTAAGTGTATTTGAAACAAAGGACAGTGCAGTGAGAAGATTCATTTAGAAGACTCTCCCACTCTGCAGAAGGAACATAAAAGCTATTTTGTAGTCCCACTCTGCTTTGCCCAGTACTATGAAGAGAAAACAGCAATGGTCTTAGTGCTACAACCAATCACACTATCAAAAGTGGATGCCATTGTCACTGGCATTGTCAGCTCGGTTGTTGTCTATTCAAATACCATACCCAGTGAGTAAAGCTCAAACTCCCAACACACAGCCATTTAATACACTGAAAGAGGAAGAGCACATAGTCCTTCTACTCAGTAGTGTGATGTAAGTTCAGAGGCCTGATGGTTCTCATTCTGTATAGCTACCAGTGTGTGTTTTGATCTTAAACAATGGGGTAATATTAGAAATCACTTTAAGTTTGTATTGAAACTCCTCCAACAGATTCCATCTGTTCTATATAAGACCAGCTTGAGTAATAAACAAAGCAAAAACAGTAGATTAGCTAGAAGATTGGACAGAGTCAATAACCATAACTGTTATACTGACTAGTGACTGTCAGCAGCAGTCTACAATACAAAAAAAACTGCACATTTACAATTCAATGACTGTTATTCTAACACTTGGAATGGCCTTATACATTGGGGATAGGAGCGCTTTTACAACAATAGGACCTGGTTCAATTGGAACAAAGTGCTTTGTTGGGAATTACATCTATTCATGCAGGTAGTGAAACACGGATCACGTCACACACAAATATACAGATATCCTCAGAAAGAAAGGCAACACACAAAAGTGTACGCAGTGTGAAATGTTCTCAATGCTTAAGCCTCAGGGTCCCAAGGTTGCGTGTGTGTTTGTGCGCAGGTTCACCTGTAACGTAACAGTTATTTTTGAAAAATGCAGAAAGCCTTATTTTGTGCTTACTGCCTGAGCAAAAATGGCACACTGAGATGTTGCTTAGCTTGGAGGGTCTTGCTAGTTAGTTGCTACATTGCTATGAGGTTGGTCACTCACCTAGCCCAAAACCTAGTAGGTTGCTACTAGGTGGTTTCTATCATGTCCTGGGTGTTTTGTAGGATGTTGATAGATTTTTGTTATGGAATTCTATGCAAGTACTTCCAGTTTTAAGTGCAGTTGCTGTGATACTGCTAGGATGCTTGGCGTAGAAGCTGGGCCTTTCCAGGTGTTTGCTAGGGTGGTTTTAGATTGGCAGTGAGTGGTTGCTATGGTTTATCAGATGGTTGGTGGGACATCATTAGGGGTTTGCTAGATGGTAAATAGAGTATTTTATTAGGATGACAGCTAGGGTGTTTGGGATGCTTGTATTCACAGTAGCTGTTAGGTAGCTGGTTGATTGTTTGGGTGCATGTAGCTGGATGCTTTGGCCATTCTTGTGTAACTATACTGTGTATTTTCTGGTTTATGCCGGATGTTATTATGGCTATCCATATCATTCTGATAATTTTCCTTATTATTGTCATCGTTGTTGTTATGGGTGAGAGAGTGCTGTAAAGTTGCTGGGGTATACTATGTTTTTGCAGTAGTCGCAGTTAGAATATCATGAAGAAAAACTAAATGCATGTGCTGTCAGAGAATTTGATCAAAGACTAGCAATGTTGCTGATTCAGACACATTTTTAAAGAAGAATCACAACTCCCCAGACACAGTCCTGACTAAATCAGGTTGGATTCAGGAACTTATTGTTTTTTAATAACCTCCCAACTTTCTAACTCTGTTAAAATGAGATGGAGGTTCCGTGCATGCGTCAGTGTATGTATTTCTGTGTGAACAAAGATAAATCATATAAGTAATGTTAAAAATCTGTATTTGTCTGTGTCTGACCTGGGTGCAATAAAGAACAGACTGGCTGGTTAGCAGTGAGGGGAGACAGAAGCTTTGAGGGAGGGTCAGTATTCTCACTCAAAAGTCTGACATGCAATTATATCGCACAAGCCAATGCAAGCTGCTTGACTACATGCTGAAATAACTACGTTTCACAACAACAACAACTAACCTTTAAGTTTTAGAGTGGGACACTCAAACACATGCATTTCATGCACGTGAGTAGAGACTGGAGGTAGGAAGAAGACATGAAAAAGAGGGAAGGAACTTTAGATTTAGAAACAGAAAAAAAGAGATCGCTGGAGAAACAAAGGACATATGGAGAAACAGAAAGCAAGGAGATAAGGGAGGGGAATATAAAAGCCAAGACTGGGAAGGCAAGGTGGAGGAAAGCCTGAGAGAAGAAGAAGTGGATCGGATCGTAACACAGGACGAGTTAGGTTGAGGGAGGACAGACAGGATGGTGGAAGGCCCCCCCGCTTTTCCTTCTCTCTCATCATTTTCTCTGAGTCGTTCTGCTCTGATGCCTCACAGAGAAGCAGCAGAGGCAAATCTGCTCCCTGCAGCCACTGCTTGCTACAAATGAGTTTAGGCTGCACCCAAATGAACTCCTCGCAGAGCCCTTACTTCACTCCTACCAGAGCAAAACATGCAAAGCCAGATCTCCAGAGTTCATTTATGGCCCTAAAGCCAAACAGAAGAAATACTAGCCTAATCTAAACACCGCATTTCCTCAAAATTCCCTAGTTCTGTGTACCCTACACAGCAACATTGTATAGGTTAGAATGGATCTTTATTTGTATAGCATGTTTCAATACACGCAACAAAGTGCTTTAGAGCAATCAACATCAAACCAACAAGTCAAATAAAAATTGATATCACATACTAAGTGTGGAAATAATTAGATTTTCCCAAGGCAAAGTGAATGTGTTTTTGTGTGTATGGGGGTCTAATATCCTTTAACAAGACATCATTTTGGGGGTTATTTCAGCAGTTACCTCACTTTTACTGCTTTTCATTTTGCTTTTCATGCATGAATTATTCTTTTTTCCACAATTCATTCCCCAGAATATTTGGGCTAGTATTAAGAACTTGGCAGAAATGTGAACATAATGGGGATGGGGGGGTCATCCCGTTAGCCGTGGGGTTTACACACTAACCGGTGACCTTTGTTGCATGTCAATTTCCTACTGTTGTATTTAGAAACTGCTTATCTATCAGTTTCAAAGATCTTTGTTTTTTAATCTGACAATTTGGGTGGCTTACAGTCAATGAGCAGGTAAGAATTCAGTGTACTCCTTGAGGACATTTTAACAACATACAAACTGCAGGAGCAATTGTTGTTGATTCTGGTTGAACATGCCCTTGAGACTGTGGCCCCATGTATCTCGGGTGTGTATACGTATGTGTGTTCTTTTCCAACGACCTGGGGGTTCAACTATTCCTCCATGTCCTGGTGTTCAAGCTGTGCAGCAGTTTCACTGCAGGGCTCTATAACTAGTGAGGCACTGTGCAGTCTTGTTAGCTGAGCTTTGATACACTCACACATACAGAAAAAAATATTTTACCTCTTCCTTCAATTTTGCAGCAATAGTCTCCTTGCTGTATCTTCCAACACAGCGAAAGCCTCAATGACTCCACTCTGTTTGACTTCAACAACCTAAAAAACTCACTGTAATTACTGCCTGCACTGCGCGAAGGTGAAATACCATTGCAATTTAATTATGGTTTGACAGCCCAGATGAGAAAACAGGCACTGTGTTCCTCTCGTCTATTTCAATTTAAAGAAAGCATCAGTCGTCTCTATCTGCAATAACTACAAATGAATAGAAAAGTGTAATTGTGGGGACAAAGACATTTTCAGTCCTCAAGGACTGAAGTGTGTTAGTGTAAGCAGAAACTTCTATGTATGAATGATGTGAGAAAAAAGTGTGCTTTATTGTGTTCTTCCTGTGATCAATCCAAGACTCTGTATTTATTACTGTGAAAGTTTTTATTATACTATATTTATATTTTATACGACTCTCTTTACAAACTGGGACGAACACAAAGTCTCTGTGTCATGCTCCTGTTCAGCTCAAAAAGATAAATTTATAGAGCTGACCCTGACTCAGCTCACACTGACAGGGATTTAGACATTTTAATGAGGTGATAAAGTGCCTAAGCCTATAACTTCCACTGCCGATATATCTTACTTCACTGTATATGAATATAATAAAACACTAACCCAGCAGGTGTAACAGCATGTGTGCACAGGAGGAGTTTCAGGCGTGTTTCTCAGTGGTCTAAACCTAATCCATTTTTTTCAAGTTTTTACAAAAAGGTTTATCTATCCTCAGCACTGTGCCTGAACGCATCCTGTGTAGGCACAGACGGAGCACTGAAACAAACATGCTGATTTCGCTGTGTAAAGTTTAAATGTTTATTCAAGCTTTATATAAATATTAGTAAATGTTTTAGTGTTTTCTGTTTCCCCATCATTACATGTAGATTTGTTTTCTACTACGGGTTGATTCTAGACAACCTTTTAAGCTCTCCTTAAATCCCAGAATGCCCCTTGATGGCTGTCTCGTGCATTACTGCTTGCCAAACTATTAACTAGGAAAATGGACACACACGCACAAATGCACACTCACAACAGAACAAAAAATAATGTGACAAACTGAGCAAAAGAAAAAAACAGTTAAACATATAAAGGCTCATGCAATTATATTTCACTTTCAGAGTACATGGAGGCAAATTGCAGGGCTGAATCCAAAGCTAACCACTGACAAACAACCGTTTGGAGGGAACGGGTGGAAATGGGTGTTCTTACATTAGGAGATTTATATTGCACCAATACACTTAAGTCATTTGATGATCTAAAACAACAATACGATTTACCTAAAACTCAGTTTTAGGTAACTTAAACTGCAGATATCTTTACATAATGTAAAAAAGTATATTCTGTCCAAAGCTTTTTATATTAGGAGTGTTAAGACTGTAAGGTGTTTATGCAATTACACACAAAGATATACATACACACAAGTGTTGGTTAACTGATGATTGCTTATTTACCATTTGATGTTCAGTTAAGTCTTCTTAAGTGAAAATGCAGCCCATGCCAAGCACAAACAAAAACTGTTGAAAGCTTGAAAGCCATCGTGATTTCAATTATTTGCAAGGAGGGCATAATTTTGAAGCACTTACTCCTCTGAACAGACATCATTGAGTGAGCTGCAGGAAGCGGTAACACCAAAAAATAAAACAGCCAGGGGGGAAAAAAATAAAAAAAATCAATAGACAAATTATTTCTCAAAACCGAAGTCAATTTCTCTCTTCTTGAATGAGCCTCAAAAACGGGGCTAATCACTAGGCTAACACTACCTCCTCCTGGATATAGAAAGGTTGTGTGTGTGTTGGCCCCCCTCCCCCCCCTTACATACAGTACAAGAGTGTGTTTAGTGGCTAATCAGTTGTTCATTCACCAGGGTCTGCTGGAGATCATCTAGGCCTATTAAAGGGGGGAGGGTGACAACACGATTATCGTACATTATGGCACATGCACCTGCTTCTACAGGGTCAAAAAGAAGAGGAGAAATGTATTCCCTACACGAAGAGTGTGTTTCGTCATCAGGCAGGGCTAATGTATCACCCACTCAACACCCAGGAAATTACCTCAGGATGGCGCCCTCCTTTCTCTGGCGTGATTAATTGATCCGGAGAGAACAAGTGAAGGAGAGAAGAAGCACAGATAGAGGGAGAAAAAAGTGCTGATGTGCTTCGGAAGAGAGGTAGATTGGAAACCCAGTGGGGATCGGAAAGACTGGTGCTGACCTTTTTGACTATTAATGAAAGCAGAAAACGGTCACATCTGAAAATGTCTTTGGTTTCTAATGAAATCCTGCAACAGGAATTGACACTAGTGCAGTACCCCTGATTCAATCTATCGTGATCCAAAGGAGGACGGTAGGGGAGAGAGAGAGAAAAAAGCCACACACAGGGCACACCAGAGATTCTGACTTTCAGCAAACCCACAAATCTTAATTTCATCTCCAAAACACACAATACAATAATCAGTTAACTTCTGAAATAAATCAGATAGTTTACCAAATGTTTTTGTTAAACAAGAATTGGTTTACTATTCCACGCCAAAATAGTGTTTTTTTGTGTATGCGTTTGTGTGCATGTCTCTAACCAGGCTTGCAGCTCTTGCTCCGCCTTGGCTCTTTCTTGCTCCAAGCCTTTATACAGCTCATCAGTGATCTTCTTCCTCAAGGCCTCTTCATCAACTGGGGACAAAAAGAGAAGAGGGAGAGAGAGTGTTAGAGAGAGAGGCTTTCAAGTAAACAGCTATTGTTTGTTAACAGGTATACTGTTTGCGCTGGGATACTGAATACAGTCATACTGTCGAAAAAGTAAAAGAGGTGAGTGTTTGTCCTACAGGTGTTGCTGTTGCATTGATCAGAAAATGCGTTGTTCAAAATGAACATTTAAATTATAATGATTCTGAGAGAGTTTTGGCCAAACATTGGCTCAGTTCCATCCAGTCAATCATTTGTGGGGATTTGCTGATATGTTTAGTTTTGTGTGATACTTAACTTCGGATTTTGGACAAAACAGGCAATTTGATGACATCACCTTGGGCTTTATGAAATTATGACATTTCTCACTGTTTTCTGGTATTTTATAGACCAAACTGATTGAGAAAATATTAGAGAGGATTAATCCATAAGGAAAATAATAGTGTGAGTAAGTGGCAGCTGTGGTTGTTACATTGATGGATACCATAAACTGTTATTGTGCGTTTGTTGAGTTGAACATGCGTTTTCTTTGTGCTTACTGCGAGTGACGCGAGGTGTGTGTAGGTGTGAGAATGTATTATAGCATAATTTCACACACAAACAGAAAAATGCCTATATTGCTTAAACACATACACAAAGAGGCGTACACGTCATCCATCTTTAAATCACAACACCACGGTACCTTATTTACATTAATTCATGTCAGGGAAATCACACATGTATGATTTCATGTCTCCAATGGTCTATCTTGGCAGGTAATGAAGCATGAAAGTAAAGATGCCAGCCTGCGACCAGGCCAAAACGTGCTCTGAAGACAGAAGTGCCATGCAGGTATGCTGCAACACTACAGTGATTGGGGGAGTGGCTGCGTGTGTCAAGATTACTCTCCCACTGCATTAGTTAGATGGGATAATCCCTATTGTCAGAGTCTATTATTACCTGGTAACGTGGTAACAGCAGGCCGGTGGACACACACAAAAACCCTAATTCCAGCTAAATCAGATTCACTATAAGACCTAAAATATGGAAAGCAATTTCTTTCTTATCATCTTGGTGTTGTAGCTACTGTTAAATGAATAAAGGCAAAGGCATAAAACACATATTCCTACAGCAAAACTGACTTATCCTCCATGTTCAGATAAAGTGCCTGTGATTTTACAAAAAGTGTGGTGCTCGATAATTATTAAAAATCATAATCATGGTTATTATGGTCTATATTAAGATCACGATTATTTAACAGAATTACTCACCGACTTAGGACTCATGATACATTTATTGAACTTTTAAAATTGAATGTTGAACAAACTCAATCCAGTTTTTTTGTGTGGTCTTAGCAGGTGAATTTGACCTTTTAGGGAGGGGCGAGAGCCACAGCTGTAAAGGAAAAGGAGTGCACTGGATTTATAACACAAGACATATTGAGCGCATCATTTAGGAGCGGAATGTGGCACAATATTATCTCGATTATCTTGTTTTCATCATTGCTGGAAGCCAAAATCATAATAGAAAATAAAATGGGATTAACTGCACAGCCCTAGCTTGAGGGTGATTGGTTATTAATCACGATTCCATCTGTGTCTGCTAAAGTCCAACATATGGGGTTGATTCACATCTCAATTAAGTTCTTTGATTTCAGTAATTAGAACTTGAAAGCGTACGAAGGACAAACCAATAATGATCAATTTTCAATTTGGTTCGACTGCCCAAAAAAAAAAAATATTTTACCATTACCAAAAATTTTTTTTTAAATTTTCTAAAAGCAGAAGCCCCAATTCCAGATCAACATCAAAGCATAATTAAATGTTACTTGACTCAAAGCCTGTTCACCAGTTGTGCTAGAAAAAACTATTAAAAGGCTTCTGAGATACCTTGTGGACAGAAAGACATAATGACAAAGTGCAATCCTCTTTAGGAGAATGCAAACACTAGGTCTATGATTCTGGGCTTCATATTGATATTTTCTCTAGCAGCAGTGCTAGCTAAAAAACAGTTTTAGTGTAGGCCATTGCAGTGGCCTGAACCTCAGCGGCTTCTTTGTATACTGCTCTTTGTGAAGACTGAAACATCCACTTGTAGCGTAACTAATGCAATGCATAAAATCCTAAATGAACAGTCATTCATTTTAGGGACACACCTAAAGTTTGATTCTCTTAAGTTGTTGTTAATTGGTCTGAATGTTATTACCTATCAATCTCATAAGCTTTTTATATTGAAATTTCAACAGCTCAATAAAAATATAGCTCTATATATAAAATTGTAATATTCTTCAGTGGATTGATATAGAAAAAAAAGTTAGTGATACTCTGAACTGATGAATACGAGTTACTAATGGATACACGGATACATCACATCTGGGCTCATTAACAAGTATTTCTCCCTGCATCTCTTGCCATTTTTTTCACCTCCTTCAGCAACTTTGTCACACCCACACCATTACCAAATTGCTCTAAAGTGACAATCGTGCTTAAACACACAAACCCAGATCACAGTTAACGTAATCTTTTCTCTGATTTCCAACCCCTCCATAGCCTTTTTCTTCTTTGCACAAAACAGCACTTAACATGAACTCACAGCATGACAACTACTTGCTACAGTAAAGAGAATGAATAAGCGTCAGGTAGAGGGAGGTTTAGTATGACAGGGCTTCAGAAGAAACACTGGTGCAAACAGAGGCGCTGATTGACAGTTGACAACTTTTTTCTGCATAGTGTATCCTCAAAGACAGTTACTGCTGTCACTACTGTCCATAGCGTGAGAAAATAATATCCATCATGTCTGACAGCCCTTAGAAACACCATTGATCTCACTGCAGAGGAGAGTCCAATTACAATTCTGTTCAGAAGTACGACAGAAAGATAACCTGTAGGGTGTTGTGGAAACTCCTAACTCTGCCATAGGGTCGTCTGTCAAGTATCAAGTAATAATGCCATTTTACATCATGACTGCCTTCTGTCTATTAACTAATGCTGTGGCAGTGTATCATAACTAAGATTCTCATAGACATCATTATATCCATATAGCTAAAGCTGCACTACCCAATATTTTTATATTAACAATGGATCAAATGACTTGGTGAAGGGGACAAGAGGACAAACCCACAGATAATTTTCACCCCAATCAGCAGTCCCACCTTAGCTCTAGTGTGTTTTGTTGTTTTTTCAGCTCATTTTTTTTTATTTTACAGCTTCAATGCTCTCATAAGCATAGTTTTCAGTCACACCAGCAGCCACCGTTTTGTTTAGTTAAAAAGCTCTGAGAAAGCCACTATACACCACTCAGCTCTAAACGGCAGACACAGTTGGGAGCTAGCGATTGAACATAGCGATGCATTTAGCAGTAAGAGAGACAGATATTTCACTTAGTTATAAGTTATTGGAAACCAAAACAGAGCTAAAATGAGCATGAATATTGGACTTACATCCATCATGTGGCCAGAAACATGACTCCAAATGAATGGGACTGTTGCTCCATGTGTGCTGGCTGTGTAAATCAGCAGCTGTTTTCTAACATGTTTGACAACAACTTTAAGGGGTGATATTACTGTGTGTGAATATTTGTGTATGTCAGCGTGTTCAACTGCCTTTTAGACAAAAGAAATCAGTCAATTAATGTAGCTTTAAATATGTCGCTCAATAATTTTCTGAACTTACTAGAAAGTGAGTGAAATAAACAGTGAATCTCTGTACTTGTTTAATTACAACTCCTGAAAGCAACAGTAGTCATTCCCTAAGTATCAGGACATTAGGTCAAAAATATAGTGATATTTCATTTTGTCAATATTTCCCATATTCGAGGGGAATAAAGTCTCTTCCAAGCATTTCCTCCAACTCACAAAAAATGATGAAAGTGGTGATTGTGAGAACATAAAGTACTTTAACTTTAGGCCACTATAAAATGAGCAGTTGTAGAGCAGTGCAGAATCCCTTTAATAAAAACTCCTTAATGACTTACTATTCCCTCCTAAGATATTTAGGTCGGATAAATACACTGTTTACTGGATGTCAAACTGACATAGCACACTCAAGGTCAAGCCCTGCCAATGTGAAATTTTTCCATCAGTTAAGACTAGCATTTCTTTATCAATTGCAGCTTTAAATATCTTACACATATATTGGAAATATACACTCTTTTATGAAAGAAAAGAAAGATCATGTAAGTCGTAATGAGAAACTTTCTCAAACTATTGACTCAGCATCTCAAAATAACGACTTAACATTTCTAAATAACGACTTAGCATCTCCAAATAATGACTTATAGTATCCCAAAATAATGAAGTATTTCAAAATATTTGCTTAGTATCTCAAAATAATGACTTACAGAATCTCAGAATAATGAGTTAGTATCTCAAAATGTTTACTTAGTATATCACAAGTATCTTAAATCATTATTTTGACACGTTAAGTCAATATTTTGAGATACTAACTCTTTATTTTGAGAAAGTCTCTCATTATAATGACTTGCATGATATTTTTTTCATCACAGTGGCAGAAATGTGCTTCCATATCCTTTAGCAGTGCACAATGAAAAGTAACATTTAAAAAGTTCAGGCAAGCCTAAGCAACTCCTCATTTATCACCATATCCTCTCCAGCCCTGCAGAGAGAGGCTTCAGATAGCTAGGGGCCCACAGGGTCAGCTAGAGAACAGGTTCTGATATGATAAACACTGTCTGGGGTCCTTGAGGGAGGCTGGTTAGGGTCAGAGACAATTCCAGATCAACAGAGCCCGTGTCAATCCTGAGTAGGACATGTAAATGTTAAAAAGATTAAAAACTCATCATCTTTTTAGATGTGTCCCCCTCCTTTCCTTTCCCACCAATCACTAAACCCTGTGGAAAAAACCCATAGAGGAGGCGGAGAGGCGGAGGAGCACGGGCTATTGGCAGCGGAGATAATAGACGAAGGCAAATTGCATTTCTCATCAGAAGTTTCATTAACCCCAGGACCCGCGTGGAGGGCATAATCTGTAACATTACCACTTCCTCACGTTTCTAGCTCGCACTTAGTCGAGTCACCGCACACCTTCCACTACATTCAAAATAGGAAAGGAAAAAAGTGCCAAGAGCAAGCTTCTAGCCCTTGCAGCCAGGTGCCATTTCTGAATTTCTCTTTCATTCGCACTCTTTCCTGTTAATTCAATCTCATAAAAGGACCCAACTGATCATTTCACATTTTCACAAGATAACAAGAAAAGTCAGTTTCAAAAGGACACAGACATATTTCACAATTTTCACGCTCACATTTATGCACACAAACAGAAAGTTCCCCACATTTCTCCTATTGTTTTCCCTTTGTCTCGCATTTTTTCCCCCCATTCTCTCTGCTGTACCTGGGAGACATCTTTTAAGCAGGCTATTAGTCCAGTGCAGTGTGTGGGCTATGGCATATGAATATTTATAGCACATTGGAGACGGTGTAGGAGGTTCAACCTTGACTATGGTGTAATCAGCACACATACTGACTCAGGCCATGATTTAGAGACAGCCAACCCTGCTGAGAGCCTCACTCGATACCCAACTCTCGTCGACACACATAATCAATGTTCGCCTTATTAAGGTCGTACCATTCCAGGATTGAGCTGAAATTTGCAACAAGATTTACTTTCATCGTATCTTTGTTTTTTTGCTTAAAAAGAGCATGCTTGATCGGTCCAAGTTGACTTTATTTTCTCTCATTCACAATACTTGTTGAGTCTGCTACATTTTAAGCTGTTAGGTGACCTTGCAAAGAGAGTACATACAAAATACTTGTGAAAATGTCAACATTTACCATTGTTGTGGGATACTGTTAATATATAAGGGCCAATCCCTGACAGGAGTCGGCCCTGGATAAAACTGTGGTGACTATGGAGCAACCATAAAAATACAGCCTATACAAACAAACATTCACAACCTGTAACACAGCTCATATTCTGTGCACACAAAAAGATGGAGTAGAGAAAGAAACATAGACAGACATGTTCCTCTTCTCAAACTTTCCATCGGAATTTCTTTACTAAAAGAGTTAAGAAGGGAAAGGGAAAGCCTAATCAGCCAGCTTACATCCACATTTCAGCAGGAAACAGATCAGGAGATTTGTAATCTTTCATGGGATATGAAAGCAGCAGGCAGATCGTCACAATAACTACACTCAACACACTCCACACTTGTTACAAAATTGAGAGATATTATTGTATTTATATTTTAATCTGAAAACCAATTAGCGCAAACAAAGGAGGAATAACTTTATTCAACATGGAGAAAAATAAAACTCTGCCATGAAAGTGACCCCAGAGCAAACAGAAAAAAAGATAGACAAAGAAGTGTTTCTGTGGAATATACATGAATACATTCTATTAATTGTCCAATTGTGTTACTAAATGTGCTCAAACAAAAAGGCAGGTGGCTCACACAAAAAAATCAGTGTCATCTCACAGAAGCCCTATGGCCAAATAAAAATTTAACACACATACACACTTCCTTCCCTTAATGAGGCCTAGTGGTTTGTTGTGTGAAACTGCGGAGGTGTCGTTTTAATCACTGGAGTCAGTGTGGCGTGGCATAAGTTGGCCTTTTTTAATTACCTTACTGACTGAGCACAGTCAAGGATGGGGAACCCTGCCCACGCCACTGCATATCGCCCTCTGAAGAACTGGCACCCACGCCCAGTTCTGTACTATGTAATGAATAGGTAACATTCAAATGTCCTCTGCCGGATATGTCAAGAGATAAGGGACGTGCAACCACACTAGAGAAACAATGAGGCTGAAAACTTTTATTTAAGAGAGAGAGAGAGAGAGAAGTGGGACGTAGTCATTACATAAACTTGTTTCTTTTTTACTAAAACAATGTAACTCAATTAACCCCCTCGGGGATAATAAAGTTACCTTACCTTACTACATTATCTATCTTTTGCTGTGCTTATTTTATGTACTGTGTTGCTTTGCTAGCGTCTTTGATAAACCAAATCTACCAAACAGTCTCACCGCTGGTCTGACTAGTTTTGGGTAAGCTCAAGCTTTCATTTTCTGTGGCCCAACAGGTCTATTAGGTCTCCAACTTAACGTTACTGAAAGTGTTTTTTTTAATGTGAAATGAAAGAATAAAACATGCATTTTTGATGAATGAGATGTATACACTTTGAAATACCATAATCAAAAAAGAAAACATTCTTGTTGCTGTCATTAAATGGTATGCAGGGTTTTTTCTACCCAGAAGTTACTGTAAACAAACATTGTGATTGGTTCTTTGGCGATTATAGAGATTCTCTTTATAACGAGACTTAACCTTTTAGAAAACGTTTTCCCTTATGTTTCTGCTCTTTATAATTACTTCTAAAAATTGGGAGAGAGACTTGACATACTCTGTATTCAGCTGGTGTCGATATAATGTGAATAATTAGTTCCCAACTGGGAAAATTCATATTAACAAGTCAGGACAATAACTCAGAAAGTCTGCAACGGTTTGGTACACAACTTGCCGAGTTTAAGTCATATTATGCAGAAACACAGCAGGCGAAAGTAAATGTTGGGTTAATGGTAAAAACCCTTTTTTTGCATATTGCATATATTTTTTTTTTTTGCTCACATACTACAAACAGCTTTCAGTGTGTTGTTTAAATGCTCTGAGCAATAAAATAAGACACATCTTCTCAGTGGCTTCCATGCTGTTTCCACAATAAGACTACACAACCAATCATAGCTTGCTTTCTTTCATGACCAGCGTGATGCAATGGGGAAAGAGGTGCTAGGGGCAGACTAGGGGCATCTACTCATTTTGTCAGAATGTCATGAGGTGTCCCAGATATGTTATCAGTTGACGTCCACTATGATACACTACACAGGATAAAACTATCAACTATCAACAGTTCGGGCTATCACCTAGTCTGAACCTGGCATTGGTTAATATTCACAGGTCAGTTTTTAGTCTCCAACAAACCTTGAGGGAAATATCTGGTTCTTAATTGCTCTGTTATGTCAACAGCTAGTCTTTGTCTGGTGCTGGACAGGTAATGTGCAGTGGGTTTTTAGAGTTGTCTTTGCTGAAAATAGCTGTCTGCTGTTGCCAAAACCGACGCTGATGAGAGCTGTATGAGTGAGCTAAAACAAAACCATCTCAAGGACGCTATAAAGCCCTGTAAAGCCAACAGGAGCTGCAGAGTGGGGTGATAGTTCTCTGTGGGTTCTTCATTACAGGTGACCCCTTTCACATATGAGGGGTCATATGATCCCATGTTAAAATAAAAATATTGATTATAGCTGCTTTACTGAAAGGGAAATTAAAAATTAAAAACTGAGAAAAAGAAAACTTAGTCAGATAGATAAAAAAAATGAAGTTTTAGTCTCACTATTTTTGAGTGATCTCACAAACCGCTGGAAGAAGTAGGGTTTTCGTGACAGCTTAAGCTCCACAGTGACAAGGGCAGAATGGAGGGCCACTAATTACAGCATCAATTTGTTAACATTATTACAAGAAAGAATTAATCATTTCATTAACAGTTAAGGAATGGCAATGAATCATAATATGACCACAGCTATTGTGAGGCCCATTTTTAAAATGAAGACTAATTACAAATTGCAAGAAAAGTTAGAGACAAAGAGCTTGAGGTGGCTCAAAGTAAACACCCACACAATAAACATAATTAAAATTGAATGTAGCTGGAATCCTGAGACAGTTCATTCCCTCATAACCTTTGCCTTCTAATTAGCCATGCTACTGAAGAAGCACCCCATACATTTTAGGTTAAAATTTGCCATTACCAAGAACAATTCGTTTCTTTAGTTTTTAACAAATGAGCATTCACTCCTGTCTCTTGTTAGAAGAAAAATCACAACTGCACAAACCCAGTAAAAACTAGGTGGAAATTTCAAGATCTCAAACTGTATTAGCTTGAAACTCAAAAACCATTTAGTAAATCTTCACACCAACTACTCCATCATCCATTTTACATACAGAAGAGGGATCTTGGTAAGCTTGTCTCTGCCTTGACACTGATTAAGCTACTGTTGACCACCAGACATCTGTCACCATTTGTTTGTGAAATGTATTATAAATACTGATTTTAAGCATACTGGAATAAAACTCACCGGGTGGTGCAGCAGGAGGTGGTGGGACCGAACTCGACTCAGGCACTACCACTGGCTCGGGGGGCAGGAGCAGGAGATGCTGGCTTCACTGGTGGCTGAGGAGGAGGTGCAACTGGTTCACAAGGAGCAGTAACAGGTAGGGGAGATGAAGCAAATAGCCCAGCAGGAGCTGAAGGATGCAGGGATGATTGCATGGTTGTGACAGGCTCAAAAACAGGAGGAGAAGAGAGGGGTTCTGATTCGGGAAGAAGGGGAGCAATGATGGGTTCAATATTGACAGCAGGAGGAGGTGGTGAAGAAGCAATGGGTTCAATCACATGTGGAGGAGCAATGGGTTCAATTACTGGTGGAGAGGAAGCAATAGATTGATTTATGGGAGGAGGAGACGGTTCAATTACAAGTGCAGGAGAAGCAAGCGGAGTGATCGCTTCCAGAGCCGGAACAGTGCAGGGAGCAGGAATCAGGGGAGCAATGGGGGGAGGAGGAGGAGGAGGAGGAGGGGGAGATGTAGGCAAAATGACTGGCTCAACAGAGGCAGGAGCAGGAGGTGCTGCCACAACCTCAAAGGCAGGAGCAGCGACAGCATTAGCAGCTGGGGGTGATGAGGATGGAAGCACCATGTCAATTAGGGTTGGTGCGACTACCTGTTCTGTAGGTGCTTGAGGAGGAGGAGGAGATGGTTGTGGAGGTGCAGCCACAGTCTCTGTGGCAGATGGAGGAGTTGGTGTAGGAGGAGCTGGAGGTGCAACGGGTTCTAAAAGTGGAGGGAGAGGAGGCAAGGAGCTGATTGGTTCAAAGGAGGGAGGCACTGGCCGCAGGAGAGGAGAAGGAGCGAGGGTAGGTGCCTGGGAAGGTGGTGGAGTGGGAGCATGTTGATGTTTAGGAGGAGCTTCAGGTTCCCTCATGCGGTTGATGACATTCTCAGAAAGCTGCAAAGGGGAGTGGAAGAAAAGTTTCAGTGGAACAAGAGATGGATTTAAAGAAATAGTTTCTCATAATTAAGTCATCTCAAACTAGTCATCCCATGGCTTAACTTTAATGCTTAACAGACAGATGTGTGACTAGTACAGATGTTCCCATCCAACTCTCAGTAAGCAAACAAAATTTTTTCCCCAAAATTCTTCCTATGGAAAACGGTTTTCAGTTTCAGACTGGTTACTAAAAGAAAACATTAGCCCCGCTTGGTTGGCTTGCCAACTGAGTAATAATAGACAGAGCCATGCCAACTGAAGTCTTATTTGATCCTCTAAAGCCTCTCAATCTATATTTAACATCAGCTGACCCTGGCATAGAAGAACAGCTCCCACCTGATAACAGAAGCTGGCAGTAACTCCACTTCAATAATCACCCAAGTTAACCACCTTTAAACAAAAACCCCTGAAGGATAACATTATTTATAACCAAGAATGCAACAGCCTGTCCAGTTTGAATCAGTTTCATTCATACACTGAGCGACAGAAAATAGACCACGAGGTTTGTGACGTCAATGTCAACATTCCCACAAGGACATTCAAAAGTTTACTGTATCTAAATCTCATTACCACTGCAGTGGCTATTACCTATGCTGTTAAAGTGATTACTCCGTTACAACTTTAGATTAATCTAAGTTACTGTGTAACGTTAGCTTACAGAATGAATAAAAGTCAGTCTGCTTACATTAACAACTTAGCATAGCTGCTATTAGCTATATGGCATTACAGCACTCTTGTTAGTATAGCATTAGAAACACGCTGTTGTATAAACCTATATCGCTTTAAGGAGCCACGAAACACCTGTTTACTCAACAATAAGCAGGTTTGCATACTGTCACTTACCCGTATGCCCTTCACCACCGTTATATTCTCGTTCTCATCTGACTCAAATGACACGCGACGGGTGCTGTTGTTCGCTCCCATTGTTGGTCCGCAGTTTGTCAAAGTATCAGTTATCTACATGTAATATGGAAGACTGACATCCACTTTTGGTTTATGTACAGTTTATTTGCGTTAGAACCAACTGGCGGGGGCCCACACGCCACTGCTTCGGCACGTCCTTACTTCCTTAGCATGACGTACTTGAAGAACGTGCGAGTCGATTGGTCAGAAGCCTCGCCCGTCCTTGCATCAGCGATTTTTATTGGTTATTGTTTGCAAGCAGGAGAGTGGGAGTGTGACGTACAACTTGTGTGTCACTTTCTTCGATTTCTAGGACATATTGGCATTATAAGTACGTAATGTAACGTTATGTATGGATTTTAATGTTTTAATAGCATCATCCAGAAAGATGTTGTGACACTGTATTAATTCTATTACTCTGAAGAATGCTACAGTAAAATTGTGACAAGACATGAAGCATGTACTTTGAATGAACACCATGTGTATAGCCATGCACAAAAATAACAAAATATTATGAATAGGACTGCACATGTTTTTTTCAAAATAAAATATTTTACATGAGACATCATGCATGTTAGTTATGCCTATTAGGTTAAACCAGTGCAATTTTGCTCTAAGTTAGTAAGAATAAGATTACCTGTTGTCTTCTGCAGGACTTCTGATTTGTGATAAGACTTACCATAGTTTTCAGCTTCATGAATATAAACACATAAACAAAAAGCCTTTTTTCATTCAGAAAATACCCTACACATTTTAAAATGCATCATTATTTAACACAGACAGCTGATTTTGCCTCAATGAGAAAATTTACTAAATTATGACTTAAATCAGGCAATGCACTTGGCCAAGAGCAAAAATCTGACCACGTATTTAGTGTGGCTATTCAGTTTAGTATTATGACAGTTTCTGTACTCATTATTTAACTGTTTTGAGCTGTCAGAAGACTTACAGGGGGAAAAATTTAATAAATTCTAAAGTTAGTGTTTGATCTCAACTCACAAACACTGGTCTTCTTTTTTTATTTGTGTTGTTTCTCATTCTGAGCTGACAAAAAAAGAAAATGAAAGGAACAAAACTGTAGCAAGAATATGAGAGATGGAAAGACAGGGAGGACAATGGGATGGGTAAAATATGCACCCCAACTGATGGGACAATAACGTAGGTTTGATTTTGAATATGCAGAATGAGTTGCCAAACCAATCATGGAAAACAAAGACAGCTCCTGAAATGGAAATTGAGCTGCAATAGGAGAGGGAATAATGATGGAAATAGAGAAACCCTTTACATGGCCAAATTCCAAATGAGAACTTTCAGAACTGGTCCAACATCATGAGACTCACTCTCATGGTGTAGAACAGGTTAGCAGTTGGATAATGTTTGTGTCCTGCTATTATTTTCTTCTTCTTGTATACATTTAATCATTGATCTGGACAAATAAACAACTTTTATTTATTTTACATGTTATTATTTAAAATTCTTTCCTCAAATGTATGTCACTTTGGATAAAAGTATCTGCCAATTGAGTAAATGTTGATGTAAATGTAAATAATTGTTGTTGTTTTTTTGCATCATTTGACTCTTTAAAATTGGTACAATCTGTGCAAGCATCTACAATTTCCATATCCTGCTGTCTTTCTCTGCCATCAATTGATGATTTGTCTGCTGAGCTCTCACCAGTATTTTCCATTCATCATACTGATATTGTGTCTAAACCACTTTTGAAGGGGTTATATCTCTGCTCATCTTCCTTGTCTTTCCTCACTTTGTTTCAGATATTTCTCAAACAGCCAGACACTTTATTGCTATTTCTCCCAGTGCGTGTCTTTTTTTTAATTTGTATAGCAGAACATTTAATCCTGGGAATTAGTGTGTGAACAGCAAATGTTGATTTTCTTTTTCCATGATAAGTATTGCTATTCATTATCTAAATCTGCCTTCTGCTCTCATTACATAGATGATACAAAAGAAATCCCACAGTCCGCAACACAGGTATGGTCAGTAGGATTATTATGAGGCCACAAAGTGGACTCACATTACATTCAACCAATCAGAACAGACAAATAAATCCAAAAGGGCAAGGCTAGCAGGTTGTCAAAGACAGAAAACAGATCAAATGTGATCTGACAAATTTTCTTTTGTGGTGAGCATCCTGGGGAACTATTAAGCAGCAGCAACAGGCAAGTGAAACTGTAGAGTGATCAGTAGAAGCAATAAACTTGACAGGGATATGGTTAGGAATAACATGGTCTGGAATGACCAGACATTAAGCAAACAAAACCCCAGAGGTAAATATGCTGATGAGCAGTACACAGCAGGTGAGGAAGGGGAAAGAGAAGGAGCTTCTATAACAGAGATTTCTTGATTGAGACTTCAGAGATATCTGATACAAAACAATCAAGGACAAGACAAAAGCATGTTCCAGAGCGAGATTGAAAAAAATAATAAATACACTTTCATCAATAATTGTGAATCAGGCAGAATGCAGAAAGGTCAAGTGTACTTGCTGAACATTCATCTTAAGCTCCATCATCAGCAGTATTTTTATCAAATAGTCAATAAATCTGCCATTTTAAAGATGTGTATTGATCTAGAAATAAATGGAAAACATTGAACTGTGTGTTAAGAGAACATTTTCTGTATAATTATAGTATATATTGTTTTTATATACTTCATACCATATCCATTTTAAAAATAAGTCCTTGCAGGACATAAAATTCCAGCTGGAAATATGATATGCCTCTTGGAGATATTATAACGAATGACAATTCAAAAGAATCATCCTCTAAACTTGATGTATTATACACATACAATAAATTTTTTCTGCTGACTTTTGTGTTTTCAGCATTGTATGCAGTGCTGTGCAAACATAAATCAATCAAAACCTTCTTAAAATCCATTCTTCTTGTGTTATTAAAGTAATTAAATAATACATATTTGTAATATAAACGTACGTACCATTATGGCTGACAGTGCTGATATATAACATATTAACTTCATATGAACAAACTGGAAGAGAGGTAGAAAAGATTTAGAGTGAAGCAGAGGATTTCAATCACTGGGAGTATGGTGACATGAGGTATGGCTTAAAAAGAATTCACTTCACAACAGACGACAGGAAGTGGGTAGTCCAACAATGAGAACAAAGAAGGTAAATGTCTGGACAAGGCAACGGCCAGTTTCATGCCCTGGAGGTATGAGGCCTTCATCATGAGTTAAAGTCAATTTGGAAATACCACAGTATACAATATGCATGTATTTAAGATATGTATATGGATTCACATACAACACAGTCATTTTCTGTAGTTCTCTGAGATAATAGTATTCAGTTGTTCAAGTGTTGGTATATTGTCATGAACAGATTTCCCCAAGGGAATCCTTCACCGCCACAAGAGCTATATGAATAGATTATGCAATAAAGAATTAGAATGTGCAGTAATGCCCTGAGGGCTCTCTGAAAGCCCCAGGCTGTATTAAATGCAGTGCTTATTGAAGAGAGACATGACTGAATAGTAGAAAGTACAGTAGGAGTGTGGAATTCACTCTTATTTGTTGTTCATGACAGAATTGGTATAGTAAACAAGATCATTGTTAAGACTGATTAACTGTGATACCTATTGCGCTGCAAGGTGATCCGGTTAATCCATTGGTAATATGTCATTCAATGATAATGTGCAGGGGAGAGAAAACTAGGTCAGTGTCCTACAGTGTCTTTACCTTTTCTTTTTTTTTTGGTGAATGCCTGATGATGTGACGATAATTTGCATTAATACTTATGATCTTGTTTTCACACCTTGCTTGTCCTGCTTGGATCAGCTCATACAAATATGTTTAGTCTCAGTTAACTTTTAACCCAGCCTTCTGTGTGGAGTTTGCATGTTCTCCCCGTGTCTGCCTGGATTCTCTCTGGGTGCTCTGCTTCCTCCCACCATCCAAAGACATACAGGCTAGGTTAATTAGTGTCTCTAAATTGCCCTTAGGTGTGAATGTGAGCATGAGTGGTTGTGTGGCCCTGCGATGGACTGGTGACCTGTCCAGGGTGTACCCTGCCTTTTGCCCAATGACAGCTGGGATAGGCTCCATCCCCCTGCGACCCTGTACACAGGATAAGCGGTTGACGATGGATGAATGGGAACTTTTGACATTTTTTGTTGCTTTAAACCTCCCAGTCTATCTAATCATCTTAACCTTTATGTATTGTTACTACTGTTTGGCAATATGTGCTAATTTGACTTGATCTTGTGATGTTTGAGTTGATTCCACTTCAGATGTCCGTCAATCTTTACCTAATTACATTTCTGTTTCATTTCAAATTATGTATGTACAGCATGGGAATGGGATGAAACCTAAAATATAAATTTTGCTGTGCTGTTTTCTAATGGAAGTGGTGCATTAAGATGGAGATATGAGACACATTTTGTTTAATCCAACCTTTATATGTGAAAAATCCAGAAGGCATATAATAGATGCAATGTTTTTCTGTTTCCTGTAATCACATTTCCATGGAGACAAGCAAAGAAGTATATTTTTCTTAATCACCAAGGGATGACATTTTGTTACAGGTTTCCAAGGGGTATCATTTACACCACTCTCTTCTCTTTCCTTGGTATTTCTCTCATGATGATTATAAAAGCTATTATCATGTATTAACAGTGACTCATCAGTTAATTAGAGCCCCAGAATTACATCAAAATTGATTCCTAAAACCAAGAACGTGGATTATTTAATGATACCAAGAACCATATCTAAGGGAAAGCAGATGCATAAATGCATGCTTTTTTTTGCAAATAGAGGTCATCTTATCCTAATCCACATCAGCTGCTGTTTCTTCAATACCTACATGTAAATTGTCTCATTTTGGTGAAATTGCTGCACCATTATTCAACGGGCTATAAAAGTCAACTCCTACAGTATTTATATTTTATTTTCAGAAAATTAGCCAGAGGATGCAGAGTGATTGAGATGCAGCATTTGCATTTAGATCTATACATTAACAGATCATAAATGCATGTCCTACAAAGACCTTATTGCCCTTGTATTCAATCCACACACAGGTCAGCCAGTCAAAGCAATCATTTAGTGTCCAAACACACATCAAGCTGAAAGAAATAACCTTGGTGCTGCGTTATTGGAGAAAAGAATCCCTGTAGATTAGTTGGACTGATGGGCTGCAGGGTTAGGTGATAAGAACTTCAAAATTAAACTTGGACGTGGGAAGCTATAGGCACCTTCAAAAGAAAAAACAGTGACTCCTGCGTGATAAAGTGATTGTTTCTCTTTTCTTTCTGTTTCTGGAAGGGACACAAAGATCACCCACAATGTTATCTCGTCAGTCCACCAGTGCATCAATCAGGGCCCAGGCTGCTGGGAATCGACCTCTGATCCAGAATCAATGCCCTCTTCCATTCTCATTGGTACAGCAGAGATTGTCAGAGATACAGGGCAGCACCATATTCTAAATGGGAGAGGCTATTTACTCACAGACACACACTGTCCCTCTCTTTTCTTCTTTGCACAACCTTTCTTTTATCATTTTCAAGAGGACTGGTTTCAAATGTTAACTTAAAATTACTTAAAACATCAGCATTGCATTGAAATACCATCTTAGTCCTCATTGCCCACCACAGAGCAAATAGAATCTTTATCGTTATCTGTACCATTGAGCACAACACATTGGATGTGTTCCAGATAATTTATCATCCGGATTATTGAGATCCCTGTTGATGGAGATCAATTGAGAATACATTCAAACAAACCTAACATTTAAATGTGATTATTTGAATGGGTGATCTCTCTATATTATAATATTTTATAATAAATAATAGACCTATAAACCTATTATTGTATCATTTTTAAGTTTTGTGTCAAGTTTCTGAGTAAAACCCTCTCAAATTTAAAAACACAGGTGTAAAATACCCGTTTTCATTCTAGTAGAGAAACCCCACTGAGAATTTTTATACCTAGGCAATTTGTTTAATCCTTACTTCTATAGCCTAGTGTATATCAATGTTGTTACACCATACGTTTCACATTTGTGACTGTGACTAAAGTAGAAGTCAGAGAACATGTGCACCACTTTTGACAGAATTTCGAAATTTGTCGAAACTACATCTCCCATAATTCCCTCTTGTAACGTCGGGCTTCTGTTTTCCTGTTTGGGTGCCGCAGCTGGAAAAAATGGCAGCTGACACAGGGAGATACAGGAGTGCAGTTAGCAAAAACAAAGACCCTTCTGGCCTCCTTATCTCTGTCATACGGTAAGGTTTATCACATCCCTTGTATTACGTTAACGGCGCTGACAAGACGTTAGACAGCTCTTGATGTGTGCTCGCATTTACGCCCAGACACGGACCGACAACTAGCTTCTATGCTAAAGCTACACGTTAGCAACATCCTTCCTGTATTGTTGATTATATGAAAGAAGCAGAAGGGAAATGTTGCATGTTGGCCACCGTGTGTGGCTACCCCAATTTGAAGCTCATCGATTATTCTTGTTACAAACGCCAATGTTTTTACTAAAAAAATCATCTGGACGATATATTTGCCTGATGTGCACAACGCAGTACAACAAGCTTGGATTTCGGTGCTGGAGCCTCTTAGCGACAGTTGTTATATTTTGTGAAACGCCTTGTCTGTGAGTTGAAGGTTAGCTGTAGGGATACAGAGGTTTATGTCAAGGCTCGGGATTAAAGTTACCGAAAAATATAAAAAAGATGAACTACATAGGCTACATAAATTACATGAGAGGCACACACTGCCACCACTGTGACCTCAGTGTAACTAACAGTACTGGGAAAATGTACATGTAAATGATGGAATCAAAGCTTCACAGTCAGAAGGTTTCAAAGGTGGTGGTTGAGTATATCCATGGGGCCATGTAAAGGCTGCAAATGGCCCCCAGTATGTACAGTAATACAAGTAATTTACATAAATTAAATAAAGGATTACTTTTTTTACTATAGAATTTGCGTCTTCTGCCAAATATGTGAAAAGATGCTATATTTGACAATGCTGCATGAATGTACTGGCTATACTTTATTGGTATGTTTATACTACTGTTTTTATTTTACCACCTTATGCTGCCTTCAAGTGCTTTATGTATGCTCCTACTTGGCTTAAAACACAGTTTGTAATTGCCATTTTCTGAGGGTCTTTTATCTGCACTCCAATATTGATGCTTCTTTCAGACTCATTATGTGGATTTAGATATTGAGTTGAATTGTACCTTCCCTGTCCCTCTCCTCCGATGTAGGACTCTGTCCAGCAGCGATGATGTGCAGGACAGGGAAACAGAGAAGGGGCGCCTGGAAGAGGCCTTTGAGACATGTGACAGGGATTTAGATGAACTGATTGTTCAGCATTATGCTGAACTTACCACTGCCATTAGGACTTACCAGAGCATCACTGAGCGCATTACCACCTCCCGCAACAAGATCAAACAGGTAGGAAAGAGAGAATTGTGGACATAAATGGACACACATGCATTTGGAGGGTTGTGTAAACCATTACTAGAAATCATGCTTACATTGTTATTGATGGATTTCAGAGCAGTGATTCTAAGCTGTGTAATTAAAAACATTCATTTTCATTTGTTTCTTCATACATTAAAAGGGTGTCTTATCTCAATGTGTAGGTTTTAAGACTGAAAGATTTACTTTGGCAAATCCTCTTAACCTAAGAGAAAACTGCCTACTTCACAATTGTCAGCTGAAGTCTGAATCCTTAGCCTCCTGGACATACTTTTCTCTATCTAACTAAATATTAAAAATGTGGAGGTCAGTCTCTCGGCCCCTTTAATGAGCAGGCAAATACAGATTTGGCAAAAAAGACATCCAGTGTCCCAGTGCTTTTTCTTATCAGGGTAAAACCTAACTTTTAACAAGGCGTGCTGGCACAGTTCTGCCTTGAAATGATGGCTTAAGAAATTCATTTTACTTTTCATCGTTGCAAAGTCCTTTGTCCTAGCAGACATTTTAGCTGGTTATTGTAGGAAAAGCACAGGTGTTGCCTATAACATTTTTGATGACTCTGATCTATTCAAGTATCCGAGTAAGCCATGATGTGTGACATTGAGCTAGCATTCACAATGCCAGGAGTCTGAAACCAAAGCAGCTTAATAATAATAATAATCTTTATTTATACATCTCTTTTCAAAACAAGGTATTAAAACATTTCAGACTGCAATGAGGTAAATAAAAATCATACAAAATAATTCTAAAATAAAATTGAATAAAATTCCCAACAATAATGACGTGCTGGAAATAAAACAGTGAGCAAGCATTAAAAAATCTAATTTTAAAAGATTTTTATATCCTCAGATTCTCCACCAGGGAGTTACAAAGCTGAGGGGCTCTGATTGCAGCTGATTGGGATTCTGCCATAATTTATTTTATTATTTACACCTGTGCTTTTCATGCTGTAACATGTTAATATGTCATCTGCGAAAAGGCCCATTTTCTAATGTGTGTTTGTGCCATTTTTCCTCTGCTTTAATGTCTGCAAACTCCCAGCATAGCGCTGCAACCTGAGGTCTAATCTAGTCAGGTCAAGAGATTTTAATCAGCCAGAAGTGGAAACTGCCAGTACCAACACTCTTATGTACTAAAGCAGAAAAATAAAAATATGAATGTCTCCTGCTCCAGTAAAGTGTTTCAGAAGGTTCCAAAGGATGCAATCCCTTATTTCCTATCTGTAGTTCACTTGCATTTTCACTGTCAATATTTCACCTTTATTGCTGTTACCCATTGTTTTGTGTCACCTGAAGTTTTGTTTCTTTGATGAAAGCGAGCCCAGATCAGATCATTTGTTGTAGGACGAGAAGGGGAAGGTTAATGATGTAGCTGTCCTGAACCTTTCTTTTTGGCTCTGGCATTCAATAGTGTGTCACCCCTTGTGATATTTAACATTTCACAATCTTGACTTTGATAACAACTCTGCATGTTTTTTGAGCTTTATTCTGTAAAGACACCTGTATGTTTCGAGCAGTCAGAAGTAGGGACTGAATTACTTTTTGTACTTTTTATAATCAGTACAGTACCTTTCAGTTTTGTAGTAATGGCTTGATCTAATACACTTTTGTTTATAGGTGCTACTTTAGCTAAAATGTACCTAGTGGAAAGTACTCTGCCTTACTATTTTGGATTCCAACACACTCTTTCCTGCAGGTGAAGGAGAACCTCCTGTCTTGCAAGATGCTGCTCCACTGCAAAAGGGATGAGCTGAGGAAGCTGTGGATTGAGGGCATCGAGCACAAGCACGTCCTCCAGCTGCTGGATGAAATTGAAAGCATCAAGCAGGTACCTCAACGGCTGGAGGCTTATATGGCAAGCAAGCACTACCTTCATGCCACGGATATGCTGGTGAGTAGAATAATGGCCAGAGATGTGGTTGTACAGGAGCATTGCTGTATGTCTTGAGTATGTGTGAGCTATTCTGTGTTTCAGTTAGATAGAGAAGCAGGCAGCCAGAAAGAGAGAGAGAGGAAAAAAAAGAAATAGATTGCATGACAGTTGGTCTTCCAAATATGTTTTGTCCTGTTGGGTTGCATGGTAAGTGAGGTGAAGAAACAAGAAAGTGAGAAATGGAAAATGGAACAGCTTGTTGTCCTGTTTTTGAAGTTGTGGGAAAACCTATTGACATATGTAAAGGCATATAAGGCAATACTGAGGCAGTACAGTGCTTCTGAGACCCATGCTGTGAACAGTACACACACACATAAGCACCAGCGTCTATGAAGTGTTGCTGCTAAGATTGATTGCCCGGCGCTTGTCATCCCTTTTAAAGAATCCTTTTCTAGCCTTGAACAGTCCAGTGGAGGCAGCTATTTTACTTCAAGTGAACATCATCTAAGTGCAGTTAGGGCGTTGCAGGTGTGTATGTATGTGTGCACTCCTGTTCTTTTGATGCGTTTTTTTTTTTTGCGGTGTGCTCGGCAGGGGAGCTGGTGGATGGCATTGAGGACTAAACGACCAGGCTCTGTGATCTCTCTTTTCCTTTCCTTTCCTTTCCTCTCCTTTCCTTCCTTTTCCTCTCGCCCTTCCTCCCACGCATCTTCCTCCAGACTTTGGTAATAATTAGTTTGCTAGAATGGGGTTATCTGAAGAGGAGGGGAAAAGGAGGGATGATGGTGCGCCCAAAGGAGCATGAAAAAAAAAACTCTTTGTGGGGGTGGAAAGAAGTGGAACTTCATTCAACCTGTGCTCCATCAGTATGGCGTGTTTTGAAAGGTTGTGTAAAGTTCAAAGTCAATTGGACGCTTCGCCTCTGTCTTGCAAACTTCAAATGCGCTTTACTTAATCAGGATGGTGCAGTTTCATTGGTCTGTAAAAGCACACTTTAAAGGACATTTTATTTGCCTCTACAGATCAAAATGCTGTTGGATGCATTCGTTCTACCTTTCGATATGGTGACATATTTATGCAGTTCATGAATAAATAATGTAGGAAAAGTCCACTCTAAAGCCAAAGTAGGGGATGTTAGTTATGATTATAAAATGCTAGAATGGCATTCTTGAAATAGCATATTTAGTTAGTTTGTTCACAGTTAGTTCACAAGTTTCCACACACAAAATGATAAACTAAATGAACTTTGCTAGCTAAAATAATAGCTTGCAGTGAAGTAAATTACAGTACATGCATGTTAGAAACCCAAAGATCAAACAGCCCATCCACTGCACGTTACTGTTGAGCTAATTGATTAAGGGCTTTGTGAGAAAGTTGGTGTATTGTTTACTGATCACAGCCATGTGATTCTATGTAACAAATTGTTGTTGTTTCTTTAAACAAATAAAAATCTGCCTGCTTATTTCTGGTGCACATCAACTTGAACTTAAATGTATATGGAATGTGCACTGATTTTTGTGCGAGTGTGAAAAGAAATCTCTAACACAATACCCACTCACTGAAAGACATGCTGTCTAGATTTTTAGAAAAATACCAGACAGAATATGACAATTAGGTTTATTTGAAATTTTAGAAAACTTTAATTTGCTGATATACTGTATAGTGCCAAGACATACTCAATCTGTGTCTCTTTGCTGTTAACATCATACTGCCTGCGAGATTCCGTGATGTGTTGGTTCCCATCATGCTGTCACTCGTTACAGATCTGTCGGAACGTCTCCCTGGTTTTCGCATGTGCCTTCTGTTGCTTCTCCTTTTACTCTATTTAACACCCTTTCCTTCTTTCGTGAACCAAAGTTGTAAATGTTTTGCGCATCCAGGCACATGCAGTATGTACGTTTTGTTGTTGTTCTGCGGCGAGATTAGACCAGCCAGGATTAAACCCTCTCCCCCCCTTCACTGTCTCTCACTCTCCATAACATTGTGTGTGTTTATGTGATGCTTATCTCTAAGGGTTGACAATTAGAATTCAGACTATGCTGTCTGTCTGCTATTGAATGGCAGTCTTAGACCCCATGGGTTTGGTTTGAAAAAAAAAAAGAGACTGGCTTTAGTTCCAGAAACAGTCCTCTCCTCTGTCTTAGTATCACAATATACACATACAAAATACAGTATGCACACACATACAACTGCTAACACCCCCCCCCCCCAGAGATTTTAGTGATAAACTGCCATTCTCTCTTCTCACCTCTTTCTTTCCTTCTTTTCTTTTTTCTTCTCTTCTCTGTCCTTCTTTTCTCCTGTCCGTCCATCTTTCTCTTCTCTTTTCTTCTCTGACCTCACCATTTCTCTTGTTCCCAAGCAAATTCACTAGAGGCTTCATATCTCTCATTAAGCTGACAGGCCTGGCCCCCTAATGATGTTAACCAGCTTTTCCACTGTCATCCCAGCCCAATGGTAATGACATACACCCCCCCACACACAGACACATAAGCGTTAAATGATTTACAGTCATACAATCTCACACACATAATCATACACAAACACATCTGTGTGTACACAGACATACACACACACAGGACATGCAAAGCCTGGCAGGCATGCAGAGTTATTCAATAAAGCAAAGGGTGCTGATCATGCAGCGCATTAGCTCATCTTGTCACTAATGTGGCTCTCATTTGCATCAACACACACTTGACCTGTGCCCCCTTCCCAGCGTCCCCCAGCCCACCCTGCGACCCATTCCCTTCTGGCCTGACCTGAAATATTCATCGCAGCACTATCATCTGGCCATTAGTGACCCTGAAATACACACAAAATTACACACATATTCACACAAATACACACATTATAGACTGGCACATTTTATTTAATGGCATGACAATTTATTAATTGCTAACATGCCACAGTCTGCTCCACCTAATAAAATCTAAGTAAAGAGGGAAGGAAGGAGGGAGATTGGTTGATTGGGAAAAATAAAGAGCATGACTCAGGAGGGCTGGAAGAGACTTAAGATCAGTTTTTCGAGGGAAATATATTCTTCATATATTGTACATAAAATTATGTATATCTGTAGGTAAATTGAAAATGTGTTAATAAATAAAACAAATGAATTTACACATCATTCAATTGATTAGAAATGAAATGCCGCTGTGGTTGTTCATCTCATTGTAAACACAGAGTAAGGCTTTGTCATTGCAGTCTTTCTTGGGAGTTGGAGATGTGTGAAGAAGCTCCCATTTTGTCTAAGTGTCATGAATAGAATAATCCTGAACACTGCCTAACCTAATAAGGAAATGATGGGGAGGAATAAGACTTTGCCTGAACAGCTTTTGTTCTGATTGAAGGGAAAAAAACCCTGACAAGTGGTCTTCGTGATATACAGCGTATAAGGTGTCATTTCAAACAGAATGATCTAAAGCTGTAGTCTTGACAGGCCAATTTGACTGTCATTACAGTCATATTTTCATTAGACACCTTATGAGATTTGGGATTTTTCAGAGGAACACTAACCACAGGCTAGTAGGAGGATACATTTCATTTCCTTTATTTGTATAGTTCTTTGAAGTTATTGGTGAGTAAGAACTCAATATGACCATATATAGGCCCTCCACTGTGATTTTCCTGTATATAATAGTCCTATATTTGTGATTGAGTTTTCTAGGAGTGTCAAGTGACAATGAATGTGCCCCCCTCACACCTCCACCTTCCCAATGTTGGTTGTGTTATGCGTGTTTTTCACTGGCTATGAAGGTTTTCTGTAAATTTGCTACAGAATGAGTTGCATTTAGATTTTAACCATTTGGTAGATTTTCCTCGGTTCATTTCAGAGCCAGGTATCTTTGTCCTGTGTTGCACCCCCCTCTTTCTTTCTCTACTGTACATGCGTTTTCTTGACTCTCTAGTGTCGGCTGTCCAGTAAATGCAAATGCCAGAACAAACCACAAAAGAATATCATCACTCACCAAAAAGTTGTCTTAGTAGAACAGTACAACAGGTAGTCTGGCGGCAAAAGGCCAGACACTAAGAAACTCGAAAGGCACAGCTAAGGAGGATAACTGGTGATCGGCTGGTATGTTGTCATACCCAGGTGTCAGCCGTGGAGTCCTTGGCAGGCCCCCTGTTGCAGGTGGAAGGCCTTGGAGATCTGCGTCTGGAGCTCCACAGCAAGAAGCTCAACATCCACCTTGTACTGATTGATGAGCTACACCGACACCTCTACATCAAGTCCACAAGTCGTCTGGGACACAAGAACAAGGACAAAAATGCTGCTCGCCCTGCAGGGTAAGGGGCACTTTCTTGTATTTCTTATATTGTCCTGACAAGAAGAATAGAAATGTGGAAATGTCAATGTCATCTAGGGAATGGTTGGCCACTCACTTGACTGTGCATGTTTGAAGAAATTCTGATTTGTCAATTACGTTGAAAAAAGATAGCCAGTTTGTTTGGTCCGAGCTTTTATTTTAAAGTAGTTGACAGAAATGTAGCCTTCAAAGTGAAAGTGCTTTCTTCTTTGAAAAGTTTAGACTGTATAGATGTGCCTTCATTATAAGTTATTCCATTACTGGGACAACATTATTTACTGTAAGGAAACCAAGCCAATTACTGACAAAAACAATTAGACGTTGTTGCTCCACTTCTTTATGTTTGTACTGCGAAGTTCCAAAGAAACGGACGAAAAAAACTCCACATCATTTATTGTAAAGACACAAACATCACTCACTCGGTCACAGGGAATTAGGAGATATGCACTTCGTGTCATGATTGGTGCCACTGTACACACCGTATTGTTTAGTTTCCAGGGAACAAACCATTTTTTAAACCTGAAAGATAGTGTCAGTTGCCAATTGCTTGCAGTAAAAAAAAAGATGACAAAATTCAACGCAGTTTCTGTGTGGCACCAGGGATTCTTCAAATGATGAAGTAGGTTTTACAGACACTAGTAAAATAACTGCCTCTATGCGTCTGCGACGCAGAGGGCCAGTTTCTTAGTTTCATGATGTAGCTGTGTAACTTATTAGGGATAATGTCACACAGTGGCTTCGAGCACACCGTTGATGCTGTTGTGTTCCGTGGAAGTGTTGTTTGCACTTTTACACGTGTGTGTGTGTGTGTGGGGGGGGGGGGGTGCAGTAATTATGGTGGCGGTGGGTTGGTGAGGTACAGTGATTTATTACTGAGGGTCAGCCAGTGACAGGTCCTGGCCTTCCTGTACTGGGTCGCCTCTAACAACAAGCCAGCCTCCATACACCCCACTCACTTAGCAGGCACACCGTGTTTATACCGCCCAACGTAAAAGACCTGAATTGCTTCCACCTCCGGTTTAAGACTTGATAAATGGCTCATTGGAAAGCAGCACCAATCCCACCCTGAGATGCAAGGCTTTTTGTTATAACAGTAGATTGTTTTCGTTAGAGAAGGGCAGGTTAGTGTCTGCATTTCTCTTATTGCATGCTAAACTTTTATGTGTTTAAGCTATTACTCCAGATTCATTTGGGCCTATTCCTCTCATATTGATGCATTAACATGTTTTATGTGAGACAGAAAACATTACATTCAACATGGCTTATCTTGATAAGCACTGTTCCTTTTGTTTTGTTTTTCCCCCCTTCACAGCTCCACAGCCAAAGACACATCTCCAATGTTGGATGTCAGCAGCCTGTCAACCCCGCGCAAGCTTTTGGATTCATCACAGTTCAGCACACCTGGATCCAGCAGTGGTATGGTACTTAGATCATATTAGATAGAGGAAGAAGGAATAATGCACCAAAAAAAAGGATGGTGGCTTGGTAAAAAGAAGGCGAGAGGGTGATAGTGAAGGAAAAGAGAAACAAAAAGGAGTGGGAATTTTAAGTAGGTGTTTCATGAAAAACCATATGGTTTGCTCTCCCTTAAAATTGCACATTAAAGTACTATAGCGATAAACACAACAACAAAGCAGTGTTGCTGGGTGTCTCTGGATAACAAAGTGTGTCGATTTCAGTTTGCAATTTTATTTTCACTGTGTGGATATTCTTTGTTATAATGAAGTCATTAGCATCACTCTGGCTTACATCCATTTGCATGTCATTATGGGTGTGTATTGCTAACCCTTCTGACACACACTCACACACACACACACAAATACTGAATGCAGGCAGAAACTGCTGATCTGAACACACTCCCACATTTCTTTCATTGCGGTATATGTCATAACACCCTCAACTATGATCATAATATACATTTCCCTCGCTAACATTATAATTATCTTGTCCCCCCTATCTGTACCATCAGTCACCCAGCGTCTCTGTCATCACAGCAGGGAACGGCATTCATTTCGCTCAAACTGGTTACCAGCGCTTTAACAGGGACCGATAATGCGGACTGTAACTGTATTCAGGAATGTATGAATTCTCTCTTGGTTGTAGGGGCGTAGAGTCAGAGCTGCATTCCTTCCAGGCACAGCACACAGGAACGCAAACAAGAAGATAATGAAAAAAGTTAATCCTGCAATAACTTGGTGTTCCCTTGGTGTTTCAGAGTTTTTATATAAAGCCTGGCACTTTTTTCACCACCCACTATTGGCATTCTAACTTAGCGACTCTTTTTAACTCTGTGGATACCAGGCAACGAAACACTGTACTATACATAACATTCAGTATCCACAGAAGTATTAGCTTATTGCTGCTGCTCCCTTACTAGTGTGGCAGTGACAGATTAACATTTGCATATGATTGGGTCCTGAAAAGCTTCCCTGAAAGCCATCCAGTGGTTGTTTAATTAAGCTGTTGCAGATCTGTCTGTCGTCGGCGGCTATGTGTCTTTTACTCCGCCTCTTTTTACTCACTCAGCTCCACTCATTATCATGAATGTGTATGCCACGACCTCAAGCACACAAATACACGAATTACCACTAATACATAATAAATATCTGCTCAACACACACTCACCCTGTGGGCCTGAAAGTAAAAGCTAAACCACAGTTTTCCTCACATTATGTAAGGAGAACACTGGCAATTAGCCATTGCCACGCCGTTAAGTGCCTATGCACCGTCATGCTAACAACTTTGGTCACGACACAGCAGCCATCTTCTATCAGTGGACTAGCTTGCCATTTTGTCTAATAGCATTAGAGCACCTCATTTGTAGCTAGTAATTGTCATAATTATTACACAAACTACAGTTGGAATGGGGGAAAAGAGGAAATACACCCAAAGTCCATTAACTTGCCATAAACATTAACTCTCTTAACGTGCTTTGATGGGAAATTGGGAGGCCCCATCTAATGGAAATTAGAGCATCATTCGATGCTGCCACTCTCAATTTAGTCGCTAATGTGGCTAAGTCAGATGGAAAGAGCGTAAGTGGGTGAGGGATAACAGGATAGGTGCAGGTGTGCACGTTTGGAAGATCATGATGTAGGATATTGTTAAAGCTATCATTTTATTTGTTTTTAATTTAGTTATTCAAAAAGGTGATAGTTGAATCTTGGTTGTTAGGTTTGTACACATTTTGTAGCTGTTATGTCTGGGTAACTGCTGAAAAGGTAACAGATGCTTCCAGAGTTTGAAAATGTGTCAAAGACCCAAGTGCTCATTTTATGTATGCCATATAAAAGATAGCTCAGTAGAATACAGGCGCTGGTCATATAATTAGAATATCATCATTTATCATCATATATCATTTATTTCAGTAATTCCATTCAAAAAGTGAAACTTGGATATTATATTCATTCATTACACAGACTGATATATTTCAAATGTTTATTTCATTTAATTGTGATGATTAAAACTAATGAAAATCCCCAAATTCAGTATCTCCAAAAATTTGAATATTACTTTAGACCAATACAAAAAAGGATTTTTAGAAATGTTGGCCAACTGAAAAGTATGAACATGTACAGCACTCAATACTAATAATAGTATTAATACTAAGTTGGGGCTCCTTTTGCCTGAATTACTGCAGCAATGCGACGTAGATCAGTCTGTGGCACTGCTCAGGTGTTATGAGAGCCCAGTTTGCTCTGATAGTGGCCTTCAGCTCTTCTGCATTGTTGGGTCTGACGTACCACATCTTCCTCTTCACAATACCCCATAGATTTTCTATAGGGTTAAGGTCAGGCGAGTTTGCTGGCCAATTAAGAACAGGGATACCATGGTCCTTAAACCAGGTACTGGTAGCTTTGGCACTGTGTGCAGGTGTGAGACGCTTCTGACGCTGTGTCTTGTTCAAGAGTGGCTTGACACAAGGAATGCGACAGCTGAAACCCATGTCTTGCAGACGTCTGTGCGTGGTGGTTCTTGAAGCACTGACTCCAGCTGCAGTCCACTCTTTGTGAATCTCCCCCACATTTTTTAATGGGTTTTGTTTCACAATCCTCTCCAGAGTGCGGTTATCCCTATTGCTTGTACGCTTTTTTCTACCACATCTTTTCCTTCCCTTTGCCTCTCTATTAATGTGCTTGGACACAGAGTTCTGTGAACAGCCAGCCTCTTTAGCAATGACCTTTTGTGTCTTGCCCTCCTTGGGCAAGATGTCAGTGGTCGTCTTTTGGACAGCTGTCAAGTCAGCAGTCTTCCCCATGATTGTGTAGCCTACAGAACTAGACTGAGAGACCATTTAAAGACCTTTGCAGGGGTTTTGAGTTAATTAGCTGATTAGAGTGTGGCACCAGGTGTCTTCAATATTGAACCTTTTCACAATATTCAAATTTTCTGAGATACTGATTTTGGGGTTTTCATTAGTTGTTGTTATAATCATCAAAATTAAAAGGAATGAACACTTGAAATATATCAGTCTGTGTGGAATGAATGAATATAATATCCAAGTTTCACTTTTTGAATGGAATTACTGAAATAAATCAACTTTTGATGATATTCTAATTATATGACCAGCACCTGTATATATTTGTTTGACTAGTGACATGACATTTCTCCAGGGGCTTTCATGTCTTTAGAGCACGATGGCTCAAAACACATAGACGACACGAAAATTGGTTTATAAATGTGCAAGCACAAGCAAAACAGTGTGTGGACTTTTTATTTCTTTTTTTTGTTATTGTCTTTTTATAATTGTCCATTATTGACATAATTTTATTCCCATGCCTGTAAATATTTTGTAAGCATATTTTGTAGTATATGCTAACCTATATGTATGTATATACTTTCTTTAGTGCGTGAGCTGCAGCAGGATGTGCGTGAGTTGAACCAAGCGGACCTCCCTGAGGTGGATCCAGAGGAGAACAGTGCTGAGTTCATGGGCATCCTCATCAGGGTACATGCATGAACACTACTGACCACAACACACACTGTAAATTGGAAATTTTGGGAACCTCATTTATGTTACGTCCACCCTTTTGTTCTGTGCTGTTATTTCAGTGTCTCTGTGTACATGCTTCTAGCCAAGTGATTGTATTGTCCTTGTACTTCAGGCTCTGGCCAAGTTGAAGAAAATCCCTGAGACCATCAAAGCCATAATGGAGCGGCTGGAACCTGAGCTGAAACAGATAGTCAAGAGGTCCACCACTCAGATAGCAGACCACGCTTACCAGAGAGGAGAAAACCTGGCCCAGGAGAGTCAGCCAAGGTACAGTAATAAACAGGATAAGGATGGCACACTGAAAGAGGAAGGCACTATTTTGAAATATTATGGCTTTGTGAGAGTGGAGAACAATTTCCCGAAGAGCGAGGATTGCTACAGATCAGTGAAAAAAATGGACAAACTGGAGGTTAATGATAAATAGCAAATGAAGAAGGAGAGGGAGACATAGTGAGTAGATAGTCATGAAGAGGAAACTGTAATCAGTTCCGTGGAAAGATGAAAGCCATCTTTTGAAATTATAATATTTGCCTGACCGGAAATAGTAAGTAACATTAGCAATAGTTCCAAAAAAATCTTAAGTGTAAACAACAGTATGCAGCTACTGTTGTTACCACTAAAACATATCTTAATAAAGCTGTCTCTTGTAATACCCTCAGAGCTGGATCTGTGTAAGAGTTTTATTAAAGCAGCCTGCTTGCTTATTCTTCTGTAGGTATTCCCATTAGAATCAGTTCCCCAGTGTCATTAAGTAAAAGGTGGCCACTGTCTCCAGAGCTTGGTGAAGGTTAGGAATTTATCTACCCTCCATGCAGATTCTTACAAATATGGAACATCTGTTTATAAATGTTAATATGGCTTGGATTAGTCACCAGTCATTTTTGGTGTTAAAATGCTATGAGTCTTTTAGGCATATTTAGAGCTGACAGTAAAGGCTGTAGACAACATGTTTTTGAATGCAGTCCCAGGGCGTTCATAGTCAGACAGTCAACCAGGTATGAAACACAGTAAAGGCTAGGACTGGAGGCACACCTGCCTCAGACCATGAAAACAGATACACTCCTGCTTTAAACCTAGACAAGTCATGGTTAAACACACCCATACACACACACAAACAACTTCACACCTGCCGAGAGAGGACTGCTACATTTTAAAAGCGGTCACATCAGCTCCTGCAGACATAACACATAGAGGGAGCCGACTTGGGAAACACAGGTCTCAGTCCACTGATCCTGAACCATTTAAGAGGAACGTCTTGTTTTCTGTCAGGGATGTTCTCTCTGGCCTGGTCTGCCTCCCTTCTCCTGTTGCCTGCTGAATCTCATCTGACCTCAATGTAATAGACCACTGTGTAGCTCATTCCCAGCTCTGTTCCTTACAGATTGTTTAAAGTTTGCCTGCTTGGGAGCGCTTAACACTGTATTTGTGTCAGTGCATTCGCATTTGGGGAAATACTTAGAGGTGTGTGTATGTGTTTTTATTTGGATGCACACACACATAGTTCTGCCTATGTTCACTTCAATTTAAAGTGAAGGCTTGTTGCTATGGAAACTCCTACCAATGTACCACTTGTAGGGAACAATGGTCTTGCATATTGCACACAATATTTTATAGCACTGCAGACTAGCAGGCCACACTTAAGCACTTTGGAGCATATACAGCATGTGTGGCTTGCTCTTGAAGGTGTATGGTCCCGTTCACGTCCTCTGTGATCAGCCACATTGGGAGTGCATTTTCATTTCCAACTCCTTTCTCTAAATTAAAATTTTAGTACACTAGTCTTAGTACTGCTTTATAGCTTTAGTACTGCACCAAAGTTATTAGCACGCACCACTGATCTGTGAGTAGCTCAGTTTAATTTACATCAAATTAGACTTGTTGAACTCATATTCCATTTTTTTTTCATTTTGCTTTACAAAAGCAGAGCCTTATTTATCTTTTGCTTTGTTTTTTTTGGTATATAGGAGATTCTGAATCTAATCTGAATCTGTCAGAAAGAGAGCTGATTTAAAGAAGAATTGCTTGAATGCTTGAACCGAAGAACATTCAACTAAATGTTTTTTAAAGCCAATTTAAAAACAAGAAAGGCACACTGATCACAAGATTGATTGCTTGTCTCTTTTGAACTGTTTTTTCCCCTTCATGTAGAATGTAGTGAAGTGGTCATTGGAATTTTTGCGTGAATGTGTTTCTACTCTATGCCCAGTTGTATATGACAGCAGGATGACCTGCCACATTTGATATTTCAAAGGGGTGCTTTGAACACTTTTTAGTCCCTTATTTATAGTAATTTATTTATCTGTGGCTGACAACAAACCTAATGAAAATCTAACGTAGAAACTATGATTATCCTCCCAACAAAAGCAAAAAAAACCACACACCCACCCAGATGTACTGTCGGTCAGTTAGTCAGGGAGTGGATGTCTAAGTGTGTGCTCCCTGCTGTCTCCCGACTGTTCAACAGCCATGTGTGTGTCAGCTTCGATCCTGAGGGGAAATAAGAAGTGAGGCCTCAAAGAACAGACGATATGGATTAGGATGGCCTCCACTGGGAGATAATGAGGAGGACTGGGCTGTCTACACTTTTGTGTGTTCGTGTGTCTTCTGGCGTGTGTGTGTGTGTGTGTGTGTGTGTGTGTGTGTGTGTGTGTGGTTGGAGTGTGATAACAAATTGAACATAAAAAAGTGGTGACAAGGTCAGAGCCATACATTTTGTGTCTGCCTCTGCGCACGCATACATGATCATTGCATTGTTTGTCCGTTTTCTGAAAGTTGGTGTTCGCTACGTACCCTTTTTCTTGTCAGTCCTTCATGTTTATGCATGAGAGAGGGGAGGAGGAGGAGATGGAGAAAGAATGCCTTGACTCGCTGGCATTTCACAGCTCGTCCGTTCATCTCAGGAACATCTTCCATTCACTGAGTTATAGCTCATTGTGATTTGTGCCTGCTTTCCTCTCCATTAATAACATTTACTCGCTGCTACTGCCAGTGTAGTGACAGACAGCCAACCAGAATGCCCCCTAGTGAAACATACATCTTGCCTCTACATTATCGTTATACCTTTCCAGCAAACTGTGGCCACTTCCCAAAACCTTTAGCATACTTTGTTTTCTTGACGCATTTAAATCTGTGGTAATTATATTGACTTGGCATTAATGTGCTGTGGGTTTAGGTGTGTTAGAGTATTTTTCATTATAGATGGTTTGCTTTTGGTGGTCACAACTTTGCTGGTTTGGAATCTTAATTTTTGTTCTGGTTAGCTGCACAGGTCAGTACAACAAGTCTTTTTTTGCATCATGTAATTGTTACCAAATCCAACTTTGCTGATTGGTGAGGTGCAGGAAAAATTCAGTTAGATCTAAGGGTAAATGGATAGACACGGTGTCTCGGCATACATTCAACTGTTGTTTCCTGAGTTTCCTTGTAAGTTTGGGGCTAAATTTCTACAAAACGGAGTTGGGAATTTGGTCAGAATTAATGCTCTTCTCAATGCTGAGAAGGACAGACTTATTTATCATACCATACCATCAAGAAGGTATCTGATTGGCCCCAAATCTATTCTGCAGCATGACAACGACTGCAAACATACAGCGAATGTCATTAAGAACTTTCTCCACTGTAAAGTAGAACAAGGAGTCCTTGAAGGGATAGTATAGTCCCCACAGAGCCCTGATCTCAACATTATCCCTGCAGTCTGTCTGGGATTACATGAAGACTGAGGGTGCTTAAATCCACAGAAGAACTGTGGGTAGTTCTCCAAAGATGTTTGGGCCACATACCTTCAAAAGATTGTGCAAGTGTTCCTAGAAGAATTGGCGCTGTTCTGAAGGCAAAGGGTGGTCACTTTTCTGTCATTCACTTTGCATTTTGTTAATTGATAAATATAATCTATTAACATGTCTATTTTGATAGCATTCTTCCTTTTTACAGCATTTTTTCCACACCTGCATAATACTCTTACATAGAACTGTATATAATATAAATGGTTAAACAGGGACTTAAAATTGCCAAAGCAGAAAGTCACACTTTCTACTAATTAAATTAAATCCAATATAAATACCAGGAGAGTAACAAAAGACCAGTGTTAAACAAACATTAACTGTAAAATCTCAACTAAAATAAAGTGGGCACTCACTAGCATCGGTGCCCTGGGTACTCAGTCAAACTCAACTAATGTAACCTGTGTTCCCTCTTTACTTTTAAAGCTTTGTCCTTGTGCAGGAAGCTGGTATAGCAAAGTCTGTATGAAAGCATTAGGTTAGATGAGGCAACTGTGAGCTTCCAATCCAAAGCGTAGCACTCTGATCAAGTGGAAGGTCTGTTTGGTTCTGGTGGCGCTCTCCTCTTCAGCCAGAGCCATTTAGAACTAATGAGAGTAGCTGCTCATTTGAGTCCAGGTTGGGCAGCTCTGCAACTTTTTCAGTAGCCAGCCCAGGTGCTGTGTTATTACTGTTGGTCAAATAGCTGTGAGGATCTGTTGAATATGAAATGTGAATGAAAACGGGGAACTGCAATACCTAATTGGGATTGTGAAATGCACTCAGTAATGATTTTTGGCTGAATGTTGCTATCTGTTATTTCCCTCATTTTCTTCAGGGCAGCTACAGTTTTGCTGTTATTTTTACTAATTTTAAGTGATAAATTGGATTTGTGCATAGCAGTTTTAATAAATTACAAGTTGTTTACAATTAGTATAATGCATCTGTGCACATATACATCCTTCTGGTGGCAGTGGAGAGGTAAAACTACATTTAAGGCATGGCAGATGCTGGGGATGCACAATAATCTCATCTCATTAGTGTACTGCAAGGACTGTTTTGTTTAAAAATCATGTTAGAAAAAGATGGTGCTTGGAAACATTGGAATATCAAAGGCATTAGTATTTCTTAGCTGTTTTGTCTGAGGTGTGTAGATCTTTTATAGTTGTTGCCAGGCATTGTTTTTTAGGGGAAAAAAAGCCTGGCAACTGGTGTGTCGGCTGACACCAGCAGTCACACCACACCCTAGGTCTAATTTTCCTGTCTTTCTAATATTAAAACAGAAGCTTCCTTGGTCTCTCTCTGCTTTTTTTGTGTAGAAACCCATGGCCAAGTGATTTACTTATGGGATAATGTATTTAAACTAACCAATAAACTGTTGAGTGAATGTTATATTGGCTGTGCTTTTTAGCTCCACTATTAGATTGTGTTAGTGGAAAAAAATGCTTAGCAAAGAAATTTTCAGTTATAGTTTTGTTATTCTAAAAAAAAATGTATCACATCTGTTTTGTTTTAAAAGTGTGACTTCTCATAAGTTCTCTTGATCTCCTCCCCTTTTCCCTCTTCTCTTCTTGTATTTACTCCCCACTCTCCTGCTCTCCATCCCACTTGTTTCTCATATTCTCCCTGCCTTTCCGCACTCTCTGGCTCCCTCTACAGGCTGCTGCTGGAGCTGCTGGAGCTTCTGTTTGACAAGTTCAAGGCAGTGGCACAGGCTCACAGTGTCGTGTTGGCCCACCTGCAGCGGATCGTGGTGCAGTGCCCAGGCAAGGCTCACGAAGAAGGCATCAAGCTCTACGAGCAGGCTGACGTCTCTGCCAAGATCCAGACAGTGCTGCAGGTCAGATATGAGCAATAGTGATAGAAGAAATATAACCAGACCTCTGACATATGTGACTAGTATAGTTAAAAGTTGTGAGAACTTTGTGGCAAATGTTTGTCTGACTTGTCCCCTATACACACACGACAAAAAGGGCACTATAAAGAAGTATTAACCTAGAGGTCAATTAAAATGAAGCTTTAAACAGCAACAGCTTTTAGTGTCCAGTACATTTAACATTGCTACTTCAAGTAAAAGGCCATACTGTAGCACTCCACCATATCACAAGATGCTTTCATGGTGAACTCTGTGTTTGTTTTGTCTCTCCTTGCTGGCATATCCCCAGGCTTTTATTTTTCACCCACTGCCATGAAGTTTTGTTCATCCTTGATTTATTTTCCACCCAGCACTTTTCTTACAAGACTGATTTAATTCACCTTCTCTTACAGTAAATTAATCAGTAGAGAAACTGGCAGTGATGTGATGAGTGGCGTTCAATCTGTCAGCAAGAAGCAGTAGCAAGAAAAAAAAGACAGGGGAAGCTTGATTGCTTGGATTAATTTAGGTTCTTTAATTGGCGTGTAGTTATGCTGGGTTCTTGCTCCCTGCTCCTGTTTCATTGGCTGACAGGATGAGCAGCTGTTAAGCTGACCTATGGTGAATCTCAGAGGAAAATCTATGGCAGTTGTTGCTCTCAAAGCGATTGGGGGTGTTTTGTATCTCCCTGTGTGTGCTAATACCCAATGAAACCACATTTTTCTTGATGCTCCTTCACTGGGAGAGTCATTTTCATTAAGACGTCTTTCTGAATCCTTTCCCGTTTCTGTTACCACATTTTAACCAGCCTGAACTTGTTAAAGAGGACGCAGTGCTTCTTCCTCCATTTTAACATGATTTTCTCACCAATCCATTCTTTAGATGTGCTTTATCTGATATATATATATATATATATATATATATATATATATATATATATATATATACACAAGAGAGATAAGAACTTGTTTCTTTTTGGGCAGAAAAGTACAGCTAATTTTCTCAGATTTGGTGGATTTGATTAAAATTGAAAGCCTGTTTATTTCTAACTTGGCTCGTCTGTTTCCAGTAACTTTTTTTTTCAGCTGTCATGCACGTATGCATTAATACAGGAGTCTTTAGGTGGTTGTGTGTGTGTGTGTGTGTGTGTGTGTGTGTGTGTGTGTTTCCAGGGTGTGATTGTGCATAGGCATGTACTGTAATAGCTCTGCTGTACCAGCGCAGTTATAGAAGGCATTAAGCCATTCCCCAGCATGCGATCACTGCCAACACCCAGTTGCCAGGGGCTCCACTCTCCCCTGTCTCTGCGATGTGAGATAATGTAATCTCTTGATTAGAATACTCATTAAGTGAAATGAGGTTTTCTTATTCACTCACTCGTGTTATTATTTCCTGACCGATTGTATCAATATGAAGGCCCCTCGTCCATCACACCCTCCCTCTTGCCATTTCTCTCATCTCTTGCTTATGTGTTCGTCTTTCTCTCCCACTCTCCATTTCCATTTCCCTTGCTCTTTCCTTCTTCAGCACCGTTCCTGCTTTGTATTGCAGTCTCTCAGTTTCCCAATACCTTGTGCATACCCCTCTTGCTCCTTGTAATTTCCTTCTTAATCTCATTATCTTGCTTTCTTTTTCTCTCACTACTCCCACACTCCCTTTCACCCCCTTCGTTTAGCCCACTCTGTCCTAGAGAGTCGCATATCAGCAATGAGAGAAATTAAATCCCTACCACTCCACAGTGGCTCTGTTAAATTTTAATGGGTACTGAGTCTGTTCTTATCTCACGTCTTAAGACCCTCAAAGGGGCAGGAACCTACACAACATCGGTCAAAATTTGCTTACGATCTTTGTTAATCCCTTATCATGTGTGTCTTTTGGTTATGTTTTCTTCAGTTCTACAATACCTACTGTAACTTCATTTTTATTTCTAAGAAGATCACTATTGCCTGCAGAATATACAATTTAAAAGTTATACTTCTATAACTGGTATGAAAGGCTTGAACAGAAGTAGACTGCATTTTAACATGTACATGTACATGTGCAGAAACCTCTTGGTAGGTGTGTCCCCCCCCGCCCCCCACTTTTGAGAGGTAGGGGGAAATCAGGTTGACCTTTCCACATGACATACCAGCCGACAGATGCAAGAGCCGACAGAAACACAGGGTGCGCCCAGTTACAAGGCCTCGGCAGAGAAACTGTTCATCATTGTGTGACTGAGGCCCCGGCAGGCTTAGAATGGGGAGTAGGTAAACAAGCTTTTGTAAGTCAAGATTCATGTAATGGTCCTAATCCATGTTCAGAAATGCTGGAGACGCTTCTACTGGCTGTTTATTTCAGCATGGAAGTATTGATTCAATGCATAAAAGACTAGATGGTAATCAGTGGTATTGATGCTGGAAGGAGTGTTTTAATGCCACTGAACAATCTTTTAAGTTTCTGTAGAATGTGTGTGAGTATATCTATTGATTATTCACGCCATTACTGAATTTACATTTATAAATGTATACCACTGCATGCTTTTACTACTGTCTGTCTCTATCTATGACTGCCATGTTTTCATTTTCCGTCAGGAACTATACTGTTCTTCAAAGCAGCCTGTTTTATCAAAGAAATCACAGTGACTGGAACATAAATTTATCTATAAATGTTTAATATGCTTCTCTTTCCTCTTCAAAAAAATGTAGTATAGTAGCGTCACACAAGCCTGGCAAGTTTAATGTTATGTTCTTGGAGTTAAAATGTTAGTCAGAACAACATTAGGTGCCAAGTGAGAAGCAACAAATTCAATTCAAAGTTTTCCTTTGAATCATTAATGAGATGGAAGTCACAATACTTAACAGGTAATTGGGTAATATAGTTCATAAAAGGTCACAGTTCATAAACCTCACCATGCATTCTTCATTAAGACTGCCCAGCAGGAGTGTTATTTAATGTATTTGGCACATTGTCTCTAGCTACTGACGTCCATCACCCTTTGACCTTGTTGGCTGTTTGGTTTGAGGCGTGCGAGTTTGTTAATTAGCTCGCCTTTTGCGTATTCTGCAAGGATTTGTGGCTGGGTGACTGCTCGCCATGTCCGTTGTCTGCTGCGAGTGTGTGACCAGAGTGCAAATGACACTTTTAATGAGTGGCTTCCTCTCTGCAGACAAGGAACTTTGAGCCTGTATTCAAAAATATGGATAGATGCTATGTGTCTTCTGACAGCGCTGATTCCTAGATCATAGGAACTTCACCGGAGAACTCGAATTTGTTCACATCGGCTGTCCTTTTTTTGATGTGGCCTATATAGCAACATATAAAAACAAACTACGATAAAATTGAAGTTTAGGTACCTGTCCCTGCTTTGTGGCACTAAACACTGAAGTCCTCTCTCTCTTTGGTACTTGATTTTCCTGGATTTTGGGGATAACGTTTAACACACTGTTTCCATCCATTTCTTACATAAACTTCTAGTATTCTTTCCTGTTTTTATATATTCCTTATCACATTCTTGCTCCCCTCTCTCCTTTTGATTCAGAAGAGAGCCCATAGCTTAGCCTAAACTGGCTTCATAAATGAATCATTTCGTTGCTCTAGATTAACCAAGACAAGGTAGGTGTGTTATGTTTTTGCCTCAAATATATAAATATACAAGTGGCTTAAATATTCACTGCCTTTTCTCGGCTCATCGACGGAGAGAAAATGAGCCGAATTGAACTGCCAGCCAGCCAGAAGACAATGATCTCTTTTAATTAGATATGAAGCGCAGACATCGCTACGTTGTTCTTGCCCAACATTTTAATCAATGTGTCACATTTATTCTGCCCTCCAAAGCACTGTCATATTTACATATCGCTGGAGCGCAGTGAAGTCTACCATCTCCATGGTGTCACAAAATCTCTTCTTTCTCAGCTGCGCACACCCCCCCTGCCCCTCACCCCACCCATATCTACTACATGAAAATCACTGGAGCCTTAATCAACTGGTGATTTACTGAATGCTTTTGCAGTAATTTCCTTGACTTGTTGCTACATTTTATGACTCCTCATGTACAGTAAACACTGTCATGGCTTCAACTTTATATCTCAGATGAGGTTAGTGCAGTCATCCAACTCTTTGAAGATCGACATGTATTAACTTTATTTACTGTATAGTTACGAGACTATTCACTGCAGTGAGCAACAATATAGAGATACTTGATATTGAACTAATTTAAACCTATTATGGTGAAAAGTAATATTTTCAATGGTCTATGTTTAATCTGCTTCGTCTTCTCTTTTGCTATTCTGTTAAATCCTTGCCTTTTCAACATATTCACTGATATGTTGACTATCTCATAGAAATGCAAATTAAAAGCATGCGTTTTCTTAAAGGATACTATCCATACAAAAACACAATTTCATCTTTGTATAAAACAATAAATACACCAATAACAACAAATTAAAATGTCACATCCAAAAAATATGCGTGGGATGTAGCAAGGATACAGGGAGAAATAAAATGGGTTTCATTGAACACACAGGCACATCTTCCTTTCCCCCATCAACAAGATATCCTTCAAAAGCCTGACGAGATGTGGTACGCTCCAGGTGGGAACCCCCACTGGCTAGCGGTAGTTCAGTGCTGCGGGAGTAGTTGTGGCTGAAGCTCTGTCAGAACTTGTGAAGGTTATTGAAGTTTCTGGAACACAGTCAATATAGGGTGCACACAGAACAACCACTTTGATGGCCAAGGACACTTTGGATTTTAACTTCAAGCGAGCAGCAAGGGATATGAGTCAATATGTTTTGTGACAAGACACCGGCCAAGGGATTTAGTGGGAAAACAGCCGATTTCAATAAAGCCTTGAGAAAGGAACAATTTGTTGAGATTGTTCTCTCAGCTGCTTAAGATGACTTAATAAGAAGGGGAGCGGATGGAAACAAGGGAAGACAAAATGAAGTGATATTTATTTCTTTAATTTTAGCCAATTGACTGCCGAGTTAATCCAGCGACAAGTGCTCACCTGCAGAGCTTTGAGTGATGCTCTCTTAATTGCACTGATTTGTTGGTGTTAGGGCCCTAATGGACAGAATGGAGGATGAGTATGCGCCTTCTCTAAGTACAAAGGGTGACATCGGAACATTTGCTTTGGAAGAAATAAATGGGAGTGCTAGTAATGAATTGCAAAGGCAGACCTCGATGAAGCTTTTCTCCTTTTTTAATAGAACTTAGCTCTCAGCCCAGTGGACTGATTTAAGTTTGGGACGAGACCCAAGCCACTCAAGTGCAGAAGGAGATTGGCTGATTGATAGAATTACATTGAATAGTTGTGGTGGAAATGATTGCCTTTGTCAGGGCGGCCCTTGAGAGACATGTGGGCTTTACATGTGCACTCAAACTCACACACATGCGCACCCAAACACGCACACACTTGGGTTTAATCCTAGTATCTGGTGTGAAGAGCCATTTGTCTCACATCTTTACATACCACCCCTTCTTTTATCCACTGCTTCACAGATTCACCCATGACTATTGATTTTTAGTGTATTCAGGCAGTTCATTTCCTCTTCTCTTGTTTCGCCATCAACTCTCTTAACCTTTTAGTGAAGTTACAATGGAAATTCACTGAACTCATTTAGCGTGGACAGACATTTTGGCTAAGTTTTCAAGATCAGTTGCTAAGAGAATGCTCTCATGTTTAAGTGTCATTTTTGACAAGATCTGTTCATACAAAGAAGGAAATGTGGAAAGAGACATGAGTATGTTTCCATCTGGTACTACCTGTTGCCAAAATTAAAGATGCTGTGAGGGGGGAGAAAGTTTGTTGACATTATATTTGTTTGTATTGAGACCGTTGCGTCAGATGTTTCAATGCTTCAGGTTTTTACTAAATTAGAACTGGCTCCCATTTGGAACTGGGCTCCCAGGTCCATCCCTAATTAATATTGCAGTCCAATGAATTTATTAATTTTCGTCTCTTGTGGATAGCTACTGTTTTGCACTGATGTGACGCTCCCGGTCAGAGGCAGTTCTTTCTTTTGGTAGCTGTGACGATGCTGCTGTTCATCATTTCTAAGCTGGCTGTGACAGAGGGACCTCTTCATCTCTGTATCACTTACTTTTTCTTTTACTTTTCCTTTTGTGTACTTCTCCTTCACTCTGTCTAATTTAATTGTTTAGTCACTACTATTTGCAACACAGTTCTTTCTGTCCTATTGCCTTGTTTGTAATCCAATTCCTTTGACTAATTCCTGATTCATTCTGATCCTTCTTTTTCACTTTGCAAGTGTGATATGCTGTCCGGTCACACACAGGTGACAGTGAATAACTTTTGTATCAAACAAAACATCTATCTTCCATTATTTTAAATTCATGTGACGTGTTCATTTTGGGACAAGAGGAAAGGCTATGGTACAAAGTTGTGCCCATAAAAATGCAGTTATTACACATTATTGAACATTACATACATTGAACATTACTGTTGGGAGACAGACTATTGCTACTAAAACTATCACCACCTGTAACCTTTTTTTATGATGTAAACAGTTAGTAGATTAGCTACCTGAGATTTAGGCATCTGATAAATAAGGATTATAACTTTGCATGCACGATTCCCTACTATATTTGAAATATTTGATGCTGGGCAACTAGCTGGGGAGGGCAGTGTGGGTGATTGTAATTGACTTGTAACGTGAAGATTAACACTAAAAGTAAAGTGACTTAAATTAAACAAGATGTTGCTCTTATGTAATTGTAATACATTGGTGGCATAAAAATAAAATAAACTAAGAAAAAAGTCTTTTGAAAATGAAGTCTTTCTCAAATTGTGTTAATCTTGATAATTAGTGTATACACTGCACAGTGAGACTGAGATATATTTAGCCAGTGTCATTCTATCCACTTATAACAAGAAAAAAAACACAAATTTGCAGTAGTTTGCATCAAAGTAACTTTGTTAGGATCAATGTAGCACTTGTTATCGAGGTAGATTTATAATTTTGAGGTGAAAAAGTTTTGTGAGTTGTTAGCTGTGACATGGCTTGCTTCTGATTGGAGGTAGATTGGCTGAGACTGTCTACTAAAGGCTCATGTAAAGGTGGGGAAACCAGCCCTCTTTTTTTTTTTATCTTCACTTAAAGCTGTTAAATTAGCAACAACCGTTTATTTAAATTGTGTTCTTTTTCTTCCTCACTTTTCTCTTTTCTTCCGTTCCCATTTCCTCTTTTATTCTGTTCAGTGTTCATTCTCCACCTATAATCCTTTTCCTTTTTCTATTCTCCCCAACTCTTTTCCAGCTTTATCTCGCCCTCCTCCTTTCTCTCAGTCTGTTACTTTCTGCCTCCCATTCCTCTCTTCCTCTATCTGTCTCTCTGTCCTAGCAGTCCAATTAATTGCCTCCAAAGTTCACTCTGTCTCTGGGCTAATGCAATTTAAGTAGGGTCGGAGCCCCTTCATCAGCCCAGTGCTGGCATTTCATTAAGTCTACTTGGGCGTTAGCTTGCAAGCAAGTGGGGGTTTCGCTCCATCAGCTCATCATTAGTAATTAATACTGTGATAGGATTAGCTTCAGCATGAGGATAGTGGCAAGTGGAGGCCCTGGTGTTGCCAGTTGCCAGGGCATGTGTGATATGGACTTCAGTTCTGTGTGTGATGTGGGGAAGTGTGTTAGAGAGTTATTGAATGTGTGTTGAAAGATTGTGTGCTCATGTTTAACTTACATATTAACTTGAACATTTGTGACCAAGTGCTATGACACCAGACTCTTTAACTTTACATCAAAACCATTTTAAGTTACAAAGATGAATGTTTTCAAATATTTTTTACCTGTTTTTTTTTGTAATAATTCATAAAAAACTTGATTCTGTTCTTAAAACAAATATCCACAGCATACATGCATTGTTTCTTTTGCACGCGTGCTCGTGTGTGGGCTCTTTAATGAACAATCAATGCAAAATGCGAAGGCTTTCCCATGCATGACGGTGGGGGTGCTCTCCGCAGTGTTAATTACATCATTATGGTCGGGATGGATCTCCATCTGCTTGGCCATTACTCCTGTCCCATTCTGGGCTGACCCACACTGTGCCGCAGAATTAGACACACACAGGCTAAATGGCCCTGCTAAATTATGAAGCTATTGGATATGGGAGGCTATTTTAGAACATATGTATTCACACAGAGAGAGGAATGAAGAAGGGCACAAGAGAGAGGGGACGATGAACTGAGGTAGACAGAACAGAGAGAAAATAGAAATGTGAGAAATGAGAGATGAAGCACTAAGAGATTTTGAAAAATGAGAGCCAGTGAAAGCAACAGAGGGAATGTGCAGATAGAATGATAGAGTAGAGGAAGTTAACTTTCTCTGTCTGGCCAGAGTTTCAATGTGATTGTCCTCAGCTATTGTTAGAAGTTGATAAGATTTTTATGAAGCATGATAAGACGTTGATGGATTTCACCATGGATCATGCAGACAGATGAGGGAAATGGAGGACAAGATTTTTTTTTTTTACAGCAGCAATGAAAAGCACCCATCCATGTCAGTGTACCTTTTCTGTCTCAAAGTTTGGATTTTCATTCGTTTTTCAGGATTGGCTTTGTGATGCCATAAATTGCAATATAACGTAATACTACAAGCCACACTAAATACAAAACCTAATACTTGGGATGTTCATAGCCGATCTGCTAGATGATGCTCTGCTAGATGTATATCTGCTGAATATTGTTTTTTGAAAGGGAGAGTAAGGTATTCTGCAGAAGAATGTTGATGTTTGAACTCAACTGCCAAACAAATACTTCAGTGCTCCCTCAGAAGCCCCACTTCCCTAATTTTAAATCTTGGAGCTTTCTCTAGCTTACAAACACCTTCGCCTTTACCAGGTCATTTAACATTCTTCTGTGTTTATGCTCTTCAGACCGTTTCCTCTGGATGTTTCTTGGCCATCTCTCCTTCTTCACAGTGCCTGGAGTCCAGCATGTTCAAATGTGACGGTGTATAGAACTCTCTCTCCCACTGTCCTTGTGCAAGAGCACTAACGCCACTTGTTGCTGATTGGCTAGAACAATGTTGTGTGGCAAGGTCCACACCACTTTCTTTGTTGTCCATTTACAGAGCCAGCGCTGTGTAGGAAAACACAAAAAACAGAGAAATTGCAAAACATGAATTTAACATAAAAGTGTATTGGATTATAATCATTTACTATCCCTTTAAATGTGATGCTAGATATTAATTTGTAACAGAATGATTGTAATTATACAGACTTTTACATTTTTCATTGAAAATGTTTGTTCTTGTTCCCTTCAAATTGTTGGCGGAAAATAGCAGGTGTAGAAAATTACTCAGCATGTGCATTGAGAGACAAAGATTAAACCCATGTGACCTGGCTGAAGGTCAGACAACCTGCCATAAAAATAGCACTCAGGTACTTCTACCTTGATTCTTCTGCTTTTTAGCTTTTGACATAGTGCTCTGTGTTTAGGTTCTGCTTATGGAGTATCTGGATGTGAAGAACAGCCGCAGTGCCACAGAGCCGTCAGCTCAGCTCTCCTATGCCAGCACTGGCAGTGAGTTTGCTGCCTTTTTTGCGAAGAAAAAACCACAACGTGCCAAGCAGTCGCTCTTCAAGTAAGGATCAGACCCTTTGCTCTCTACCTGGTGCCGGACTGAAAGAAAACTCAAAGATTAAATTACTCTATGTATAAGAGTACTTTAACATTTTAATATCTCAAAAGACCAAAAATATATTTAAGGTTACATTGGTCTGTTTGACATCTCAGGCCCAAGTCCAATGCTCATTGTAAATGTTTTTTGTTTTTGTTTCTGGTTGCATTGTGCGTTTGTGTCTAATGCACACTTGTTGAACCTTTTGTGTGTTTTGTAGGTTTGAATCATCTTCCCATGCCATCAGCATGAGTGCCTACTTGAGAGAGCAGAGGCGAGAACTCTACAGCAAGAGTGGAGAATTACAAGGTGAGGATGGGCACAGAGGGATGAACTGAGGAATGGAGAGTAGAGAAACAGCGAGATGTGGGCGCAGAAGACTACTGAACAGGGGGAACACAGAGCAAAGGTTAAGGTCAGGTGGAGGGATGAAAAGAGGGGGGAGGTTAGAGGTGTACAGGTTGAGTAAGGAAAAAGAGGAAATCCGAGGAGAGACCTACAAGCTCATTGAACCGACAGAAATAATGGGTAAGTTCAAGAGTAGAGAGGTTGTGGATAGAGAGAAGGTGGAGGGAGGGGCGGGTTATTTTGGTCATGTTTGGCTAAGATGGAGGAGGTGGGGCATGATCCAGCCATAGAGTGATGGAGGGATTTGGGTGAGATGGAGAGGTAGAATGGGAGAATGAGGGCGCAGTGTAACAAAAGGTGACGTGGAGATTGTAAGGGTACGTTGCAGGTCGAGAAGTTACACTTCGGAAAAGAAAGGCAGACAACAAGAGTGAGGGAAGGAAAACGGAGACAGAGTATGAGATTGACGAGAAGCAGAGCAGGGTGACTTTGCAGAATCCGCGTACCGTCTTGAAAACCTCTCACTCACACACAAGCACAGACAAAATAACACAGTGAGTGAGCTGCACAGCCAGACCCTGGAGAATCTAAGCTACTGCTCCCACTTCTTCTCTCGCTCTCTCTCTCTCTCTGTCTCTCTGGCTGTCTGTTTATATGCCTCTGACCTTGAGGTTTCAATCAGCAGTGCCTGACAGCACTGTTTGTCTGCTATTATTCCTTTTTTCACACCAAGCTCCTAATTGTTTGGATGAAATAGGAAAGGTAGGAGATGGAGCGAGACAATAACCGTAAAGTGCTTATAATCTGTAGAGACTACTGTGTAACTCAAAAAAATCATCCTTTCACAATATCTGCATAACTAATTATGACTATTGAGGGTAAACTATTTAAATAATGTAATTAGGCTGCTCTAGGTATTCAAATTAAAAGAAAGAAAATGATTGACTTGACTCTAGAACATGTTTCAATACAGGCTGTAGCTTTTATTTTTTGACAAAAGAATCCCACTCATACAGTAGCTAGTCTGTAAATGTATGCAAAATGTACTGGCTCAACCCAGCCCCCCCTCACCAAAAAAAGAACAGCATTGATTAACTGTGGATAAAGGAAAACCCCAAATGGTCTTCAAATAACAGCTCACTTTTTTTCTTCCTCCATCTGTCGGCGCCTTAGAAAGAAAGGGTAAAAAATATTTTTTTTTGACTGGCTGAATGCCTCCGAGCGTTCATAAGAAGATGAGATTTCTCTGGGCTTTCATTTCACCTGTCACAATGCGTAGCACCGGCCACAAGCCTGGGCCGGAGCCTGAATGGCTGCAAAGAGATTGAAGGAGTAAGAAATCATTTAGAAAGTGAAATAAGTTGACTGTGATGAAGGGAGGGGGAAAGATGGATAGAAGGAAGGATGGAGGTAGAGGAAGGTTAAAAGTCATTGTTTTCATCAGGGTGCAGCGAAGAAGCCATTAAGAGATTTCTGAAGGAAGAAATTAGAAAAATATGTATTGAGACGGTGTGGAAAGGGACTTTTTCCTCTCTTCAAATTAAACATACTGTGGAGAGGGAGGGAGAGGAAAAGAGTTGGAAATGAGAGATTGAGTTGATGAGTTCTTTTGGCTGCGGGATTACTCAACTCTTAAAGCTTAGTCATGTGTGTCTCTTAGTCTCTCTACTTGGAGTTTCCTAAACTCTCTTTTTTTTCTCAATGGTCTACTTCAAGTCAATATAGTTATTAACTCAGAGGCTCACCAACACAGCCTTGGAAATAAGTGAGTTTGATTGTTCGTCTTAAATCCAGCCATGCACCGTTAACAAAGGAAGATAAATGGTAATGCGCTAAACTGAGTACAAAGTCAGAACTACAGATGTGTCTGTAGTTTTTGCAGAAGGCTGCATTTTGTACTTTTGTGAATACATACTGATATTTTGTTGTATCTGTCTGTCACATGTCAAGTTCTCAGATCTTTACGTAAGAATCAGAGCAGCGGTGTTGGTACAGAACGTGTAATGATTTTGTAACCTACCCAGAGTCCCATATCTGTAATGGGTTTGAAATTAATCTGTAATATCTGTAATTTATGTCTCCTGCGTCTTGTAAGGACCCGCCATATATCATTACACACACACACATGCAGACAGCCACACAGGCGCCTATTCTCATGCCTCACATACACATGCACAACACTCAGGGGGACTTAATTGCTTGCCTCCGCTGCTGGTGCTCATCTCGTACGCTTCGATTAATGCAATGCTTCATCTTAAGACTTTATTACTGCTCCATATGTAGGGACATCTGGATTATGTGTTCTGAACGTATGTAGTGAGACTGCCAGCTAGAGCATGTATATAATGTTCATTTATACAGCAGATCGTCAGCTGTCTGTCTAAATGTGTATCTAGGGGTTTGTGGGTGCATTTGTATCTTCTGCAAACCACTGCTTCAGAATCACAGCACCTCATCCAGATTCAATCAAGTCCCCTATGAATAAATTATGAAAATAACTATTTTCCAGCTATAGATGTGTTTCCATGCCCCCATATTCCTCTGTATGTCTCTCGACCACTAGACTTTTACATCCTCGCCCTCTGCTTTTTTATTGCCTCTCTATCGCGTGTGTAGGCAGTGGAGGACTCGGAGCGCCCCAGTGGTCATCTGGGAGGTGAAGTGTGAATATATCTCAATAACTACTGTAAGTCAGTAATGCATTTACAGCCTTTTTTAAAATTTTATTTCTCTTTGTGTCACGCCTTTTCATTGTGTTTCATGCGATATTGCCTTGCCCCCGGGGCACGATAGAAGTGACCTCCCCCACCCACACCTCATGTGACAGCCGTACACAAAGCCTGCCTGTCACCACACGCTTGCACCTGATATCAACAAACATACACACTTCAGAATTCCCCCTTTCCCTGCAGGCATGTACATACACTCTCATTCCCAACTCTCTCCCACCTCTGACCTCCCTCCATTTTTACAATGTATTCACAATCAACTCGGTTCCAAATCTGTTTCGCACATTCCCTGTTTTCCTTTTGATATTCAAATAGACTTGTTCACAGGGTGTCCGGCAAACAAAAAGCAAGCCGTTACGCAAGCAATCTAGTTACAAACAGCTCTCTCTCTCTGCCAACCCCTACATACCTAATGCTCAGCCTGAGGTAGAGAAAAAAGCCTATGCTGTATCAGGGGCTTCTCTTTTATATATTATAGCATCATGTTCCCATGAGAGGGAGGTGGGGAGAGGGAGATGAGGAGGAGGAGGAGGAGAGTGACTGCTGTGGGCGACCAGAAGTGGTGTTCCTTGTCAAGCTGAATTGTACACCCCAATGGGGAGAGGAGGGAGAAGAGGTGCAAATGGAAGAATGTCTAGTGGGAGACACGGGTGGAGGTGACGGTGGGTGGGATATTAGGGGTGGGTCAAGCAGATGTTGAATGCCATGTGTTCACAGAAATGTATGTGTGTTTGTAACATGAATTAGCAAACACAGCATGTTTCATGCCAAGTGACGTGCGATGTTACAGACTTCGGCAAAATGGGATTGTGAATACTGGGGGTTGGATATGTTTTTGGTTTTTTTAGATAGCTCATTGAGAAAACTAGCCCTTGTTTTTCATGTCTAAACTTTTTCTACACCAAACTACCATGTTCAGATGAGTTCCTCTCAATTAGAAAATCATTGGCTTGCCTTTCCAATTCTTCTTCTTCCAATCATTCAATCTATTCTGCTGATCATGCAATTATGATTGATCATAATCATAAATGGAACCTTAGATGGAACTTTGTCGATGAAAAAGTCAATAATTATTATAGGATTATGACGCTGGAATGTTGCGTAGCTGCGATTGATGCCTCTCCTTTCTGTCTTTTTCCGCTTTTTTGCTTTAACACTGATGCTCTGTCAAGATGTGATGTTTCATTCTCAACTTTCTTCTCAACTTTCTCTTACTCTACTACGCTACTTGGAGATTGACATTAAATAGATTTCTGTGTGTGTGCGTGGGTGGTCTCAACATGGAAGTCTCAATAATAAATCAAAAATAGATGATAACCAAATTAAATCCTGTCAAAGTAAGCAACGTGTTGTATGGACCCACCAAGTAAATGCCAGTTAAAGGATTTAAATGAATCCAATATTTATACCTTCAATGTTCTCAAAGAAAGAAATAGACAAAATGTGTACTAGTGATACTTTTTGCCTCAGGGTACTTGTTGTGTATGAGCAAAAATAATTCTACTTGACTATGGAGTTGGATTTCTTCTTTAACTGATTTATAAACTGCAAGTCCCAAGGCCAGTCTCTAAATTGGATTGTATTTGCTGTAAAATAAAAATTATTTCCTATTTTCAGAAAAATGTCTTTCAAATCTTTCAAAATGTTTTACTTTGTTCAACCGATTGAATATGATAGGTCAAACTTATTATTATTATTATTAAATTATATAAAAGAGGTAATACTATTTTCACTAATAAGTCACAGCTTTGTTGTAAGTTTCTGCAAAACTTCTGAAACAAACAACAAAAAAAAATAAGCATGGGAAGCTTTTCTTAAACTTTAAGGCAATACTGCTTTCACTGACTTATCCTGCAGCAAAGGACCAAAAAAAGATCTTCTCTATTTACAGAATATTATCAGGTTCACCAAGTGTCCTTCAAATGGCCATTATTCCTAGTGGAACATTATGTGATGTAGGCACATGCCATATCAATGATTGATGAGGTCTTTCATACTGGCCGGATGTTAGTGTGTATAGGTGTACACTACCTGATGTATGCTTGCCAAATAATGTCATATATGACGTGTACAACATGCTGTTATTGAATGACGTGTTGTAAACGAGTCTATTCTTGAGTTCTGTACGCCGCAGGAATGTCACTAGAAAATGACACGCATTCCCCTCTTGCTCAGGTGCCAGGACTTTATGAATCGCTTTGTTCCAGCAGTGATATAACTGGGTTTGTAGAT